AGAGACAGAGGAACTCACATGGCTGAAGAGCCTGCCGCAGGAATAAATTAGTGGCTGGCCAAACCTACCTCCTTTTCAGGACCTGCCAGCTTTCTCCAGCTTCTCTCCTCTGACAGCAAGCATACCCACCCTAGTTCCTTGCTTCACTCCACCCACTGCTCTCTTACAGCAAGCATACCCGGTCTAGATCTTTGCCTTGCTCCTTTGCTGCTTGCATGTACACTTCAATTCTTTCAATAAAACATTTAAAATCTGGAAACAGGTCCAGAAAGAGACCATGAGTAACACTACTAACTTATCTCCTGACTCAGAATCCTGCTCACCCAACCCCATCCCCAACCCATGGCCCCCAGCAAGATATTATCTTTTACCTTGAGTTTACAAAGGCACCACAAGGGCACTAGAACATAACTGATATGCACTACCCTGAAGAGCAACTCTGAGCACTCCATTAGACCTTTGTGCTGGGGTTGTACACACTTAATCATACACGAGTATTATATATAAATGTTCTAGCTTTCTCTGTAATAACCCAGCCTGGGAGAAGAGCAGCTCAATTGAGGAAAGAAGTTCATCAGATTGTCCAGCGAGCAGATGTGGGGGCCCAGTCCACCATAGCCAGTGCCTCTGGGCAGGTGGTCCTACAATAAAGTGAAAAGCTGGATCCAGTCTATAAGGAGTGTTCACATGGTTCCTGCTGAGTTCACACCCTGAACTCCCTCAGTGATGGGCTATAGTTAGAATATGTACCTAAATACACACACAGGGGCTGTGATAGGGTGTGGAACCTTTACACTCCACAAGTTGCTTCTGGTCATGGTGTTTATCACAGCAACAGAAAGCAAATTAGGATGCAGTCAAATGTTCATCCCTGGAGTGGATAAGCCAATTATAATATACAGTATATACAGAAATATAAAAACTATTGTTTATTACTGGGTCAAAGAAGCCAGACAAAAGTGCCTGCTGTATGACTCCATTTACATAAAATTGAGAAAGTTCAGAGTAACCTCAGGTGACAGAAAGCATATTAAGAGTTCCCTGGGAATGAGGAAGGAGACACAGAAATCTCTGTGATTAATGATTTTGCTCTTTACCTCGGCTGTAGTGGTTTCACAGGCACACAGCAAAATGTACCCAACTGTATACATGTAATAGACAACTGTTTAACAACAAACCATAAGGTCTCTAGATGCACTCCCACTAAACGGATGAAAGTAATCCAAATACAGCATGTGATGGTACAAAACAAGGGGGCCGCCTGTTACTTTCTGTGGAACATAAAATAACCACTACACAGATCATCTGATGGTACCTAACAGAACTGAGCATGCATACACTCTACAAATGGCAAGTTCCATTCTTAGGCACACACTACCAAATAAACCAAATGGCAAAGTAACTGACACACATTCTGAAAGCAGACCAAACACACTGCTAAGAGGATGTGCAGCTATCTGGTTACGTGACAACATGAAAGTGATGTTTACTTTCACTCTCAGGTAGTGGCTGTGGCTCTATCTGAAAAGGGAGATGGGGCCAGGGGAGTTCACTTAAGCCAGGCAGACATGCTAATAACTCTGATGACGACAGAAACCTGTGCTGCCTCTCACTTTCTGCAGGCTTGAAACATTGTTTTAATACACTCAGACAACAAATTTCTACATGTCAAACTTTGTAACAAAGTAATTCACAGGAAAACCTACAGTCTAAAATGAATTTATTAAAAACAAATTTTATACAAATGTTATCAAAGAACAAATGAAAATTATAAAAATAGCCGGGCGGTGGTGACGCACGCCTTTAATCCCAGCACTTGGGAGGCAGAGGCAGGTGGATTTCTGAGTTCGAGGCCAGCCTATGTGAGTTCCAGGACAGCCAGGACTATACAGAGAAACCCTGTCTCGAAAAACAAAACAAAACAAAAATTAAATTATAAAAATATAAAACAAGATGTATATTTTTTTAAAGTGTGGACAGTTGCCAGATGTCATTAAAACTCCTAAAAACAAACAGTGTACAAAAACAGGAATGCTCTAATTTTTGGTCTCAGAATTCCTTTAGATCTAAAAACTTTTGTTATTTCTATCAATATTTAATGTACTAAAATTAAAACAAAGAAAAAATTTTGTTAAAATGTTTTTCATACAACACACACAATTATGCTTTCTCTTCCCTCAACTCTTCCCAAGTCCTCCCCATCTCAACACGCACCCAACTCCATGGCCTCTAAAACTAACTAACTAACTAAACTAACTAACTAACTAACTAACAAAACTAAGATACATTCAAACAAAGTAAAGACAGAAATTCTGTAAACTACCATTGGGTTCATTTTATGCTGGTAAACTACTCCTGGGCATGGAGCCTGCCCTGAAGGGTGGTTTAGACACCCAGGAAGACACCACTGGAGAAAGCTTTTTCCTTTGCCAGCGGGTATCAAGTGCAGGCAGCTTCTTGGTGAGGGGTAAGAGTGAATGTCCACGTTCCCCTAACAGCGCTGGGACCCCATCTGGCTTAAATTTGTGATGCTGCAAGTCCCTGTGAGTCCCTATATGTATCGGCCCTGTTGTGTATCTGTTGTATTTCCCTGGAGCACCAAAGATGTCAACACAGTAAAAACGGAAGACGGTATCTTATGAAAGTAGTTTCGACCTTCAAGATCCCTAGAAATCAAGGGTCAGGTGAATGCTAAGTGGTCTATGTGTCATACATATCTAAACACCAGAGGTAGACGGTCCCTTAGAAATATCAAGAGAAAATGAGAAAGACAAGGTGGTAACTATAACAAATACCTCTTTTAAAAATTACTTTTCCTATACAACTTTCTATTTTTCCTTGCTACACATTATTACATACACATAATTACAGAAATATATGTGTAGCTATGTATATGCTCACGTGTCAGTCCAAAGCCAGATGGTTCAGGCTCAGGAGTAGAATACTGGTTCTCCTGAGTAGCCAAGACTACGAGATTTATTCTCTGTGCCTCAGTTTCCATATCTACAATGAAAAGGATGATAGTGTATTCCTTTCTTACCTCAATATAATTAGTGAATAATGAAATATCCAATTCAAGTAAATGCTTTAAGATATTTAACATATGATAAACTGTACACATGATAGTGCTATATAGTAGAACTTTACCAATGAACACGAAATGGTCTATTTTTTTTCTAGGGAAATATAAAAAAATCTGCCACCAATCTGTCAACAGCCTGAACTTAGGTCTTCTTTGCCAATCATGGTATCAGCTTTGCTCTGTGGGACCTCCCTCAGTGTGGGACTGTCTGCCCTTTTCATTCCTCCACTGGCCTTCTCTGGAGACCTAGATAATGGAGTCTCTGTGTGCGAGTAGCCTTCTCCTGGTGGCCTCTGCTCCTTCCATACACCTTCTATTGGTGGACCTGAGCCAATCCAGTTAGAGAGGGACTTATTCTGGATTATGATTTCAGTCCACTATTGGCTGCCTTCACTGCTTGGGGCACCATGGTAATGTGAATGTGTGATAGGTTAGAACCTTTATGAGAAGAGTCACCAACTGGGGAGCAGGTCTTCATCACACAGCCTACGGAGGCGGAAGCTGTGTTTCCTATCCATAACGCACCATGTAGGAGAGTCCTCACAGTACTGGCCATGGCTTCAGCTCTGTGGGCAGCACAGCTGCTGCCCGCTCTTGTTGAACACTCAAAGAGAGCTGACACCCAGTCTTTTATATAGTGCCACTGACCTCTGGGAAACTGATGAGCTTTCTCACACCAAGAGGAATGAATGGGCTGCTTCATGGACATTCCCATCACTCCTTTCCACATCTCTTCATTCTCTTTTGGAGTATCAACAAGTCGGTTCCCACATACAGTTCTTGTAAGACAGTAGAAAGATGAGCACCGGGACCAGAAGGCAAAGCAGCCCATAAGGCCTTTCACCATTCATACAACTGCAGCTGTAGGGATATTTAACCTAAGGGCAGAGACTGAGCACAGAGCTACAGCTGCCCAACTGAACCATCACTGAATGGGAGCACAGTTATCTTTCCCTATATTACTCCAGAGTGGAGGAGCTGGCTAGACTGACAGATGTACTAGGGACAAACTTCTAATCGGAAATCATTAAAGACGACTCACATAGCCCATTAGGATGAGGAGTACAGTGCACGTCGTACTACTTCAGAGGCAAAAGAAGCATGAGCGTGTGTGGCTGTGACACTGAGGGAGGGGTGCAGATGAACAAAAGACTGAGGTGACATTCAGAACAGAAGAGGCCATTTGTGTTCTGTGACTTGAGTCTCGCTCTGTAGCTGAGGCTATCTTCTAACTCATCGTCCTCTTGCCTTTACTTACCATCTGACAGGTGTAGCCACTAGACCGGCTTTAAAATCACACAACTCTCAACAGAAGGAATACAGAGTGCAAAGCCTTTGTGGTGAAACATGACTACTTGTCCAAGAAGGGAGATTCAATACCATCTTCTGGCTTCCATGGGCACTACAAGCATGTGGTACACATACGTACATGCAAGCAAATCACTCATGCACTAAAATAAAAATAAAATTTTAAAATAGCAATAATACTAAAGGGTACTTTAATATTCATTGGCACAAGATACTTGTCATCTAAAGAAAAGTGTTCTCAATACCACACACACACACACACAGAGAAACACACATACACACCTTCCAACAGAAAAGAGAATGCATGTAACCTGTGCTAACACAGTCTCTGAAGAGGGAAACTTAACAGTTGTTATGTGAAACAATAGTAAAACTAAAGCAGAATTCTCCTCCATGGTGAATGGGACCCAAGTGCCTGCCCCTTGCTGTCACCCACGCTACGGTACTTGGCACAGTCCTGACCCAAAGAAGACACAAAGGTCTAGTCAGGAAGTTACAGGAGCAACAAGACTTGTCTTGTTTGGTGGCTGCAATTAGAAACTGCATTCTAAATGACAGTCATCTGAAACACTTGTGAAACTTGTTGAAACTCAACGACAATTAGAGCGAGTCGTGTTGAATAATAAGTGTCCCTTTATTTGCTGATTATAATAGCAACAAAAAAGTGTTTCCTTGAGTTGATGTCAGAGGCGACTTCTTCCCAAATGTTAAGCAGTGTACAACATCAGTATTAAAATGTTAAATTTCACATTGTCTATACCACTTTGATCTTCTGAACAATTTGAGCAAAATAAGGTAAAAGATTACATTTATTTTATCTTTAGGAATGTAAAGGTCTAATTATTCAAACAGTTTTATTATAAAACTAAACTCTGAAGGTGTCTACAGAGTTGGCTTTTTAAAGTGTTTTCTCTTTAAGTCAGTAGTCTAACAAGGATTAGAAAAGACAAAACTGTTCAGTGTCTGACAAAGTAGAAAGGGTAAAACATAAATAAGGCTTTAATTTGGCAAAATATAATACAACGCCTTCTGTTAACTTCTAACGAGTAATTTCCCAATTACTTCACTCTGTAAAAGATAAGAAAGCAATCTATTTAGAACAAAGTAAGAAAAGCAACCCACATGCATGTATCCCACAGAGATTTCACGAGATCCAGCCTGGCACTTCAGTGATACCCGGAGCACCTCATACTGATGGTGATCACGACAAGAAAAGACCTCAGGATTCAGAAGCCTTTATATAAAGATTTTGAAATGACAATCCTGAGAAGCCATTTTTATTAGTCTTGCTCAGTATAATGCAAACCCAAGGTGCAAAGTGGAACAGGCTGAAACTTACAAACCCCATCTCCAGTAAGAACAAACACTCCTAAGGCAGGAGGCGGTCAGCACTCAGTCTCTCTCTGTCTTAAAGCTCTCTAATCATTAAGCCCTTTTCATAGCACCAAGTCGGGAGATTTGGCATATTTTGTCCAAACTTTCTATGACTATGCTATTAAATGCAAAGAAAAGCTTCAGCAAACCATTAATGATGTTGGCAAAATGACTTTAGCTATTATTCTAGAGAAGACAGAGAAATTACACAAGGGAAGAAATAAACACAACGAGAACATAAAATAAAAACTGACAACATGAAGGAGAACAAGATTAAGAAAGAATCTGGAAAAGGAATAGTCAGGCTGAAGCCATGAGAAGAGAAGAATTTCTCTACGAAAGAGAAATGAAAGTCATCTACCAATTTGGGGAAGAAAAGTGCCAGAAACATGACTTCCAGAAAATAGAAAATTAAGCTTACAAAGATACAGGCTATGCTGAGAGCTTCTGGCCTAATAGTAAAGATGGAAACGGGTTTACTGCACTCAGTCTTCTGAGAGGACGTCAGCACTGTTAAGGGCATGGGCTTAGGTAGGCTAAAGGATGGCTCTCCTGAATAGAAACCGTTCACAGTACGTACCTGCCATGTCATAAGAGAAGACTGTCAACTTCTTCACATGCCTAACCTACTGTTGGGGCTTCTGCGTGGCTGTCAGTCAGAGGAACTTTGGTATAGATTCTAAATAGCAGTCTGCCTTGTCCCTTTGTACCTACAGGGTATCACAGTAATTCTGGGGCAAAGAGCCTCAGAAGAAAAATATCTGAAATATTCTTTGTATACTCAAATGCTATCCCCTTAGCAGTATGATTTAAGTCAGACAAAGGGACTAAACTTGGCTTTTCTACAGTTGTGTAAGCAACAAGAGTTCATAACATGATCTAACAATGGACTTATTATTTCTCCTAAACCAAATCCCTCACTTCTAGCATGAAGAAGTAAGAAGATTATCTACAAAAGGAAACTCAATCAAAACACCAACTTGGTACGATGGTGCCACCATGATTCTAGCACATTCAAGGCCAGACCTCAACACTGCCTGAACAAGTCACCTCAAAACAAAACAAAACAAAACAAAACAAAACAAAACAAAAACCACCAAGCCAGCTCTAATCAGCAGAAATTATGGAAATCTACTACTCCCATCTTTAGTTATACAATAAATATTGTATATTCTTTTCATGTTACAAAGTTAGGATGGCTTCATTTTTCAGTCCAATATTAATAAAACAAAGCCAAAAGCAACCACAGTCATAACAAGAGGGGAAATGGCCAGAAGTAGGATCAGAATCAACTAACGGACGACTGTGGGTATCACCACAACAGACCACTCAGGTAGCCACGTCACGTCACAACCAAGCTGCCTGTAGTAACTACACTGTAATTCTATTCCTCTAAACCAAAAGACTTCAAAATGTGTGCACAAAAGGAACAAAACAAGAAAGGTCAAAGCTGCCACCTAGAAACTGTGAGAGGGAACATTTCTTGGGTGACATGAAGATCACTTTACAGTGAGTAACGTTATCTGTACTTCTCCCCACTGCATTATTTATAAGGAAGCAGCAGTTCTTAGTGTCCGTACCCCACACCTGGATTACTTCTCCTTTGTGAGTTGTTGATTTACTTCCTGAAGCAATTGCTGTAACTGTGTCACAGTCTGATTGAGACTTACAGACATCGTCTCTTTCTCAGGAGACTCCTGAAAAGAAGGTGGAAGGGACAATAACTTCAAAAGCCTCCAAACACAAAGACAACAGTGTGCAACCAAAAAGGGAAATGACCTAAGCATTTGTAAAACACAATTAGCTAGCGACACTAAAAAATCACACACAAAAATGTTTGCTGATTAGTGGAACAAACTAGCTGGCACCAAAGAAGACTATATTGCATAAAATGCTGGCCACAAAGGAAAACTCTAGTCTGTAAACATTGTAAATAATGTAGTTTTCCTTTCAGAAAACAAAACAATTATGTTTAAAAAAAAAAAACTTATCCAGCAAAGGAGAGCATGCCTCCAACAGCCCCAAGCACAGGGGCCACACACAGGTGCTACTGGGTGCCACAGCTACTCTCTACTCAGGGTCTCCATGGTACTCAGTTGTTCCTTCCGATAACCCTACAGGACAGGTGACATTGCCAATACTCTTTACTGAAGCAGAGTGACAGCCACACATGAAGTTAGTAAGCAGCACGGCACAGTCAAGCATTCAAACTCTAATTCCAAAGCACTAATGCACACACCTCTCCATAAAAACACTGCAGTTAACATAGGATCTCACAAAGAAAGGTGAAACTACCAATAACTAGGATGCAGCGGTACTCTGGTGAGAAGACAGCTTCTGGTTAAGAATACTATATATGGAGCTGGGTTAGCTCAATGAGGCAGAGCTTGTGTAATATGCACAAGGCCATGGATTCCATCCCCAAGTTTGCTCCCTTCCCCCAAACATGGAAGAACAGTTTGGAACCAAAGAACATGCTTCTTCTTCAAAAAGTTTATAAGGTAACTAATCTAGAAATTTGAGGTTAAAGGAAATACCCACCATTTCTGGGGAAATATCACTATTCTCAATAACAACAGTGTCTCCAGCAGGTTTTAGTGAAATTTTTGAGTGGATAAAGTTCAGTGACTGTTGAGCCTGTAACAAAAGCATAAAGAGAAGATACATCAAAACACACAAAGGAAATAATTTAATATGTATTCCGTACAGAATTAAAGCTCCTCTCAACACATGATGTAAGACATTTGTCACTGAAAAGAGCTACTCATCCCCCGCCAACTTATAACAACATGTATGTACATTTTAGCAGCTCAAACATGGGAACTGAATAAAGAAATTAAAACTAGAAGCAACCACACTGATAAATTTAAGTTTTAGCCTAGACTACAAGTCTGCCAACTCCAGCCCACAATCTGTTTTTTAACAGCTCATATCTAAGAACAGGTTTTATGGTTTTTGGTTTTGTTTTTTATTTCATTTTAATTTTATGTGTATTGGTGTTTTGCCTTCATATATGTCTGTTCGAGGGTGTTGAATTCCCTGGAACTGGAATTACAGACAGTTGTGAGCTGCCACATAGGTGCTGGGAATTTAACCCAGGTCCTTTGGAAGTCAATGTTCTCACCACTGAGCTCTCTCTCCAGAGTTTCAAGTGTTTAGCTAATGAACTTTGGTATTTTTGAGACAGGCTGGTAGCTCAGACTAGACTTGAACTCATTGTGTAGATACACAAGGATCATATGATCTTCTAACTCCTGCTGCCCAAGTACTTGGATTACAGCAGGCACCACCAATACTTGGCCTCGCATGTTTTTGAATGAAACATGTAAGTCTATCACATGTGGACCACTAATACTAAACTCGTCTGGGTTTGCTGACTCCTCATCTGGAACCTTTTTTGAACATAAAGCATATTTAGAGAAAATTAGCAGAAAACATTTTATGACTAGGCGCCAACATTATGTTTTTAAACATTAATTAATTTATTTTTTATGTATGAGTGCTCTATCTGCATGTACACCTGCATGGGAGAAGATGGCATCAGATCACATTATAGAAGGCTATGAGCTACCATGTGGTTGCTGAGAATTGACCTCAGGCCCTCTGGAAGAGCAGTCAGTGCTCGTAACCGCTGAGCCGTCTCCGCAGCCCCATACGTTATGTTTATACTGCATGTTTTACAAAGTGTTTTGTTAACTCAGTAAAACACATTCATGTGCATTTGAATTCTAACTGAGCATTCCTACTATCTAGAGGCAGGAGAGTGTCACCTACCACTGCCACTTCAGCCACAGACACACCATGGCCTACCTACACCTTTAAGCACTGGTACTGTCTGAGAAACTGCACTGCCAGCCTAAAGTTACATCTTTTATATTATGATGCATAAGTCAAAATTTAAAGTAATACAACAAATTAAATGAATACACATCGCAACCTTAAGAGTCTATGCTCTCTCTGGGCATGGTGGCACAAACATTTAATCCCAGCTCAAGAGGCAACTCCATAAGCTTGAGGCCAGCTGGTCTACACAGAGAATTCCAGGCCAACTAAGGCTATGAGACCCTAGCTCAAGTCAAAAAAAAAAAAAGAGGTGGTACTCTAACACAAACTTTCTAAATTCACATTTAACATTTAATCTGTTCTTAAATAATCTGAAAATTTTCAAGCATTTCTCAATTCTTAGTCTTTTTTATTAACAGTCATAAGCTCTAAGTGTGTACAACAAAAATACTTTTCATGTATTTGAAATTTATACATGCCATGATATTTAAATAAGAAACTTAAAAGATGTTATTATATTAATAATTATTTACAGTAACTGGTATAGGTATCAAAACCTAAGCTGTGTAAATCCTTGATTATGCAATTCCAAGAAAGGGATATAATGTAATTTTTCTGATAAATATAATCTCTCAAAAATACTAGGATAGCTCTGTTAAAGCATATAAAAAGTACTAAAACCACTGGACATCAGAACTACAAATAACCTGTTAACCAAATGAAAAGAACCAGAAATACGATCCTAAAGAAATCATCAATTTGAATAAGAGAATAAAAAAAAAAAAAATTTGTGCTCAGCATGGTGACATACACCTGCAATCCAGCAGTCAGGAGGCTACAACACTAAGTTCAAGGTCAGCCTGGGCTACACAATGAGAACCATCTCAGAAGAAACAAGACAAGGAGGAGGAAGGAAGAGGAAAGAAGAAGGAAGAGGAAGAAGAGAAGGAAATAGAAGAAGAGGAGAAGAGGAGGGAAGGAGGAAGAAGGAAGAGGAGGAGGAGAGAAGGGAAGAAGAAGAAACATATATTGGTGCAAAACACTGACTTAAAGAAACAAACTTCTGAAATTACAGATATTTATGTATTTTTTGTTTCCTAAACAAACTGAAATGTATGCCACCATGCCCCCTCCTTGATGATAACGGACTGACCCTCTGAACATATAAGCCAGTCCCAATTAAACGTCCTTTGTAAGAGTTGGCTTGGTCATGGTGTCTGTTCACAGCAGTGGAAGCCGTATGACAGTGACAATGGCAAATTTTACTTGAAAACTTTGGAGGGCTGGGGAGGTGGCTCAGCAGTGAAGATCACTCACTCAGTTTAACCCCGTGAACAGGACCTGAGCTCAATTCTCAGCACCCACATGTAGCTCACAATCATCGGCAACTCCATTACAGGACACCCAAAGTCTCTAGAAGTACTAAGTACCCATGTGGTACACAGACATACATGCCAACAAAACACAACACATATACACACCAAATAATTTCAAAGAATCTTCAAAAATGAAGAAATAAAAAGTAAAAACTTTAACTTCAAATGAGGAGACAAGTCAAAGGGCTTTCTTGTTGTTATTGCTGTTGTGACGCAGCCAGCAGCCTACACGTCTAAGGACCCAAAAGGACAGGAGTGCTTTTACAGGGTGTCTGATTGAGATGCCTGCAGGACACTGGTTGTGGACACTGTCTCCAGGTCAAGCAGTGTCTTACCTTATGCAAATCATCAGCTACCTTCTTTCTCTCTGTTTGTTCATTTTGAAGTTTGGAGCGTGTTTCATTTAATTGTGTCTTGAGCTGTAGAAATAAAGGAACAGAACAATTATTTGTTTATGAAGAATGACTAGGAAAGAATGGGCTCTTAAGAGCCATGATGCACAGTGGATTAGCTAACAGCTGGCCAGAGGTACAGAAAAGCTGGCAGCACAGAGATCCGACCTGCAGAGCTGAACTTAAGAGATGTGAAAATGAACTAGAGTTTAGTGTAGAAAACTTTTAACCCCAAACCAGAGCTAGACACTAAGAGCCTTTAACAGTTACTGTTCCTAATTACTGAAACTATTCCAAATTACAAGGAAACAGAAAAATTTCTAATCATCTTTAAAACACTCCCTTAACCTACAGTTCTTTTTACAAGTCAGTTGGTGCATGGGGACGGCTGAAGGCTTAGCTTGGTGTTTAAGAGGACGTGTTCTTGGAGAGGACCTTAGTTTGATGTCCAGCACCCAAACACAGCTGTCTTTAACTCAGGTTCCATGGGATTCAATAACTTCTTCTGGCTTCCGTAGGTACTAAGACATGAACTTGGTGCAAAGACATACATGCAGACAAAATACTCATACATATAAAATAATAAATGTAAATTTTTAAAAAGTTATTACTTTAAGCCAGTGAAAAGTTTAAAAATCCAACAGAGGAACTTTGAAAACAGCAATGTAAGGTCTCTCTAGCCTAAACTGCACCAGTAAGAAACGTCAAGAGGTTACATTGCTGCTCTTCCAGAAACTTTGGTTCAATTCCAAAGGCTCAATTCCCGGCAACCACACAACTTACAGCCATTTATTTATAACTCCAGTCTCAGAGGATCCAATGTTCTCTTCTGGCATTGGTGGGCACTAGATACATACATGCATGCAAATACTCATAGACATAAAATATTTGTTTTTAAAAATATTGAGAAAGAATTCTCAACAGCCAAATTGTCAAAAACAGGCTGTATATGACCCCAGTATCCATGCATAATACTTCTTTCTCACAACTATTCCAATTAAATAGAAAGATAATTATTCACATTGTCTAAAAAGTTAATGCCAGGCATGGTGGCACACACCTTTGATCCCAGCATTTGGAGGTGGAGGCAGGCAGATCTCTGAGTTCAAGGCCAGTGTGGTTTACAGATGGAGTTTCCAGGACAGCCGGGGCTACAAGGAGAAAGCCTGTCTGGAAAAAGTGTGTGTGTGTGTGTGTGTGTGTGTGTGTGTGTGTGTGTGTGTGTACATGTTACTGATTTTCCTCCCAGCCATGGGCATGACTTTCAAAACACTTTTGGAATCTTAGTAAGGTAACAAGCAAGTGAATAAATAAAACAAATAAATATACTATATTTAAAATGGTATGAGGAATTCCCACTTGGTCAATTTATTTGGTAAAGTACATTTAAATGCCTAAAGTTTCTGCTTTTTGTACCTAACAGAGAGCTCAGCTCTCTTTGGCAGAGAAGACCATCTTCTGACAAAACTATACAACAGTGTATTTATGGCCAAGCAAATTTATTTTATTTTAAAATAAAGCAACTATTACAATCACAAGACAAGAAAGAAAACCAGAAATTGCCACTTAAAACTTTCTCCTGATAGCAGAAGGGTAATTAACAGAGACCAACCAACAAAATGGAGGTGTAGCCACCAGTCTACAGATCAGGCACAAATGCTACAACTGCTGAGTCAGCTTCTAAGCATCAAAACTAAGAAGAAAACTCTCTAGTTAAAAATGAATCTGCTATCTGGTCAGTAGTGGCACAAGTCTTTAATTCAGCACTTGGGAGGAAGAGGCGAGCTGATCTCTTTGAGTTTAAGGCCAGCCTGGTCTACAGAGGAAGTTCTAGGAGAGCAAAGGTTACATAAAGAAATACTATCTAAAAAACAAAACAAAACAAAAAGAAAGTCAGTAATGGTGACTACACTTTTAATCTCAGCACTTGAGAGGCAGAGGCAGGCAGATCTTTCACTTCGAGGTCAGCCTGGTCTACAAAGTGAGTCCCGGGACAGCTACGGCTAAATAGAGAAACCATGTCTCAAAAAACAAAACAAAATAAACGAATAAAGATTCTTCTAAAACATTCTATAGGCTTACAACTGTGAAATATCACAGACCTAATCAGTGAGATATACACCAAATACATGCAAAAAACTAGTCTTATATTGCACTAGAAATGGGTATAGTTAAACCAAACATTGGTAAATACAACAAGGATTTAAAATATAGGGGTGTATATGTGCACATGTATGTGCACACAATACTCTACTCCTCATACAACTCTAAAAACTAATTCTCAATAATTACTGTCATACAAAGCATCACGATGCACACCTGTAAATCTCAATAAATCTCAATACTCTGCAAACTGATTTAGAAAGATTGCTGCCAGTTCAAGGCTAGCCAGGATTATATAGCCAAGCTGCCTCCAAATACCCCAATCAGGAAGAAAGAGAAGCAGCCAGGGGACAGGGAAGCAGGGATGGGTGTGGAGGGGAATGGCCAAGACACGTATATGAAGATGCTGTGAGAAACTCAGTACTATATGCTAACTTAAATTTTTTAAACAGAAAAATAAAAAAAAAAAAGTACTAAGTATAACTGCTGTAACAAAGCCTGATCAGGAATGAGAAAAAAAACAGGCCTAGTAAGCTCTCCATGTGCACCTGTAGTGCTAAGTGAACAACTCTCAACTGGCAGGATTAATCTGAATTCAGGAGAAAATTACTTTACTCTTCCAGTATGCTCAGATTTTTTTTTTTTTAAAGGTAACGTTATAAAGTGTTTTAAATCCCAGGAAGATGCAATTAGTGTATAAAACAGAACAGGATAACGCTAGCTAGCTAACAGGTCAGCATGTCAACAATCAGTACAAACCCTTAAAAATTACAACATGAATGCAAAGAACTTCATGTCTTAACAAATTTAGCTGAAATTTAGCCTGGGGCCGTCATCCTAGCTACTGGGGAGGCTGGGGCATCCTGGGCTACAAAACTCAAAGCTACCTTAGGCAATTCAACAAGACCTTGTATCAAAAGTAAAAGGAAGGGCTGGGGATGCAATTTAGATAAAATGTTTGCCTATTATGCACGAGGTCCTAGGTTTAATTCCTAGAACCACAGGAAGGAAGGGAGAAAAAGGAAAGAAGGGAGAGGGAGGAAGGGAAGGAGGAGATTGGTTCAGTCAGTCAATCATTGTGGGTTACTAAGAGTTAGATTACATACTGATAATGAACACTGGCTCACATCTGTAATCCCAGCTAAAATACTGAGAATTACTGTGAGTTTGAGACCAGCCTACATAAAAGACCTTGACTCAAAAGAACAAATAGAACAGAAATTACTTTTAAAAGTTCTGAAATTTACTTTTAGAAAGACTAGTTAGCTTTGGTTAGGGTTATTTCTTGAATGAAGAACACTCATCTGTAAGCTACAAAACTAGAAATCCTAGTTAACTATGATAGTTCAAGAAGACAATCTTTTCAACTCCTTCAATCAAATTTTGTTTCCTTATTCACCAAAAACTAACACTGTTCAAGAAATTAGGTTGCATAAAAAGCAGAAAACTTTGAAATAGAGTTGGAAGCCAAACATGCCATTATTAGGAGCTAAGAAAAGAAGAACCGTCTTCAGAGACATCAGAAGAGAAAGATTAACTCTAACCTAAGGAAAGTGCCAAGCTAAAGGTGGTTAGCCGGGAAAAGAAGTCTGGTGGAGTCTGCACACCAGCACACGTGTCCCCAGAGTCTACCGGACACTCAGTGGAGGACAAGCTTCTTACCAAGTTAAGCTCTTCATTCTGTCTTACTGCTTCAGAATATGAATCATCAAGTTTTTTCTGCAACTCAGTCAACAGATCTTTCAGCTGCAATGAAGTTTACAATTTAAGATTGATCTCCATGATAACCCACACTTTGCAGCTACTCGGAAGCCCTTCTACAAACAACTTAAACATTAATGCCATGTCTCAACTGAACAGAAAGTGTGAAGAATGTCTAAGTACCTCTCTGACTTCCATCACGTACGACGATCGCTCCACCTCAGCCTTCTCTAGCTCCATTTCCAAATGTTCTCGTTCTCTTCTCAGCTGTCAACACAACAGAGGGAAGGTAAGTCATTTACATTTTCCTTCCATGATTTTTCCCATAATAGAATGTTAGGATACTTATGTAGGATACTTATGAATTTAAAGCTGTTATCAGCTCAAACTACTCAAGATAAAAACATATGAGACATAAATGTAACTTTAAAATACAGATGTTTGAGCAACCCATAATGCTAAAACTGAGTTCACAGGTTGCAAGTCTAAGTCTAAGTACATACATTCTCCATATCTTTGTTTTCTTGTCTTAGTTGCTCTAGCTCTTGCTCTGAGGCTGTGAAGGAGGACTGCATCTGAAATGAGAGAGAACCACTGAGGACGCACTGGAGCCATGGACTGCAAAGACATGTTAATGCTCGAATGAAGACATGGCACAGTCTACAAATGTTTGGGTCATATTCATCTCTATCTTGGGCCATGGGCTGGATATAGTTTTTTAGTTTTGCTTTTTAAATTTTTACTTATTTTATTCAAGAGAGGGGCAAACACAAGCCACAATGCATCTGAGGTCAGGGGACAATTTGCAGGAGTCAGTTCTCTCCTTCCTCCATGGATAGAATCAGACTGTCAGGTTGTAGCAAGTTCCTTTTGCCAACCCTGCTTAGAGGTTACAAATGTAGCCTATACTGAATTGTCAACTAAAGCTTTTAAAAATTAAAGTCTCACATGTGACTTCATTTCAATAATGCTCAGAACCTACCCACTTGTACTGATCCTATATTAAGAGCCAGCTAGAATCACTTCATTTTTGGTAACAATAGCTACTCACTATATTTACTCTCCAACGGTATTAACACATGCTCACTCAGTACTGCTGCTGTAAGCTCTTCCTTACATACCTGCTTAATAGTCCTTCGAGATTCTTCAGCCTTAACTTTCCATTTACTTTCTTCTTGCTCCACACTTCGCTGAAGCTTTTGCAAAATTCCTTCCTGTGGACAAAGGCAGAATTGTTCTGAAAATTTTATGATTTTCAATTATCCTGTTGCCAAGATAAATCACAAAGGCCAGAAAGAAATAGTCAATAATTTAAAATTAAAATCAAAAGGTAATTCAAGCCATATCCTACTGTTTCTGCAAGGACCGATTTGTATTTTTCACATTCCAGCTGTAGCAGTGTGTGCATTTCATTAGCTTCTTTCAATCTGTGCTCCAAAACCTGCAAAGAATGAGATAAAAATGACAAATGAGAGGGCTGTACCTCACATTAGTTTCAGTATCGGATGACATAATCAATGGATTCAATGAATTTTAACAATATTACATTCCGAAGCAGCACTGCAGTCTGATGGCCTTTTGGTCACATGGTGTCCATTTGTGAAGCTCTTTTTAAGTCCTCACTAAGAAACACCATCACACATTTACAACAAGGATTTTACTCTACACACGAGGTAACATGTAACGAGACCCATAAGTAAATGTTACCATGCTTAGGACACACATGAGGAAGGAGACTTTACTCCTGCCACCTAGGATTCAAAACTGTCAGGGATCTGCACTCTCTTGGTGGCCGCGGGTAAGAAGGAAGGCAGTTTGTGAGTGCTGCTGAGGTTATCTGGGGGTGCTGCAGCGAGCCAATGGAACTGGCACACATCTTAGCGTGGCTGACATTGAAAACTTAAGCTAAAAGGAGATGAGAGTAATTAAACACTTGGTTTTAGAAATGAAGGGACCATATTCCTCTCACTACCCAGCTAATAACGCATCCCTCTATCAACCCAGGGCTTCTGAGAACAGCTTCTTGTGTGCTCCAACTCTCAGTTTGTTTAAATACATAGTTCATTTCTTCAACTAACCTTGACTGCCTCTGCATCCGACGTTCCAGCCATGCATGCTTTTGCCTTCTTTTCAAAGCAACATAACCATTCATTGAAATTCTATAGGGGAAAAAAGGTCAAAGTTACTGGTTTCCATAAAAGTCCAATTTTAAAAAAAAAAATCAAACATTTTAAGAGCACCAAATCAGCCGGGCGGTGGTGACGCACACCTTTAATCCCAGCACTTGGGAGGCAGAGGCAGGCGGATTTCTGAGTTCAAGGGACAGCCAGGACTACATAGAGAAACCCTGTCTTGAAAAACCAAAAAAAAAAAAAAAAAAAAAAAGCACCAAATCAGATAAAAGCCCACATACACTGTCATCAAACTTAGAATTTCACAGGCAGATATAACTTTCATAGACTGAACATAAGACAGTTTTAAAAAACAAATAAATAAAAAAAAAAAACACTAAAATCCAAATGATGCCACATGCCTGTAGTTCCACAGCCTTGGAAGGGTGAACAGATAACTAGTTCAATACCAACTTCAGTTATATCGTGAGTTTCAGGCCATCCTAGGCTACATAGGAAGACTATCTTAGGAGGAAAAAATGACTAAACAATTTATTTTGACACAAGCCTGGAAATGCTAGGTTTAAAGACAAATGCTACCATAGCCAGCAATAGGTAAGTAAATAAATAATTTAATGTGCAAAGAAATGAAATATATATTAGTATCAAAATAAAATGCTTTTTATCCATACCAAAATATTTGCAACTGAATTTTGGACTCAAAGACAGTAGACCTAAGCTCCAAATTCATGTTCTAACACCATGAGAAGTATTCATGAGCAACAGGCTAATAACCTCAATTTGTAAAAAAAATTCAAGATCTAGAATAAGGAGCATTTCAAAAACTTTTCCAGGTAAAATAGTTCTAAACACAAAAGTATTTAGAATTTTGAAATTCAAAGTCTAACTAAAGGCATTCTGATCAGAAAATTTTAAATTCTTTGAAGGTACTCCCAAAAATCCTGAAAATACTTCATTCAAAAAAAGATGTATTATAAGCATTTAAATCTTAATGGGGGTAAGAAGCACGCATTTATTTAGCTCCAACACAAAACTGGCTTCTGTTTACAGGTTAAGTGAAGAAAACAACCATATATTGTTTAAGCCACTATCTGAAACTTTAGAATAAATCATTATAAATTTGTGAAGCTTCTTAACTGAATTTGAAACTATTAACAAGTGTCTAATACTTTTAGATCAAGTTTCTTCTTATATTTTTGGTTTGGTTAATAAAGAAAACAATCTGTTCATTGACTATGATTGACTTGCTCTGCTTCTGTATCTGAATGGATATTCTCCAAGCATCACATGAGAAGGCAGGGGAAGAGGGGATGGCGATCAGCCCACACTGCACCCCTTTCAAAGCCATGCTGGCTTAAAAGCCCCTATTTATATTAAAAGAATAGCATTCTCACAATACAAATTCAAACCAGAGCAGTGAACACTGACAAACTACTTAAAGCTTTAAATACTGGGATGCAAAACAAATTAAAACCAGATGAAATCGTTCTCATCTACATCTGCTTTACACGTTGGTAATAGCAATAGACTTGTATATTTAATAGTTATGTTAATTTATCTTAATGAGGCTTAATTTTGTTTTTTTTCTCTTGTATGTAGTCCTACTAGCCTGATATATAGACCAGGATGGCCTATCTCTGCCTCACTTGTGCTGGGATTGCACGTGTGTGCCACCATGACTGGCTATATTAAGTAATTCTTTTAAAAATCTAGAATACTAATCTCTAAGTAGCACATGAAAAGCTTAATCACATGAATCAACTTTAAACAAGTATGTAAACAAAACACAAAGAATACTTTCTGTCTTACATGATTTACAAATTGTTACAGAGCCATGAATATTTAGCTATTGAAGGTAACTAGTATGCTGCCATTAAGAATGAATTTAACCAGGCATGGTGGCACACACCTGTAATCAGGAATCTAAGGCCAGCTTGAGCTACGACATGGCAAGACCATATCCTACTCTCATACAGTACACCCGTTAAGTACTTACTCTGCCCCTGCACCCACACCTAGAGGACACAGAGCTCCTTGGAGAAAGGAGCCATTCCATGCTTGAAGCTTCAACTGTATCTTAACTTGAACTTGAACATCCTGTTACAGCACAAGGCACAAGAGCTATCAAAGGACATCACAGCCAGCCTACAGCAGATCACTCCACTAAACGAGCCAAGCAGATATCACAGACCTCATGATAAAAGTAGACAACAGTACCCACACTACCTTGAAATACTGACCCTGGATCAGACAAGCCTGAGTGCCAATTTATGAGTTATACAAAGGACAGAAGAATGCAGTCAGCTAAATCCAAACTATCAGAAACTGCAATAGGACACTTCTGGGCTTCAAATCAGGGAGGGAAAAAGGGTAGGATGCAGCACACTTGCAGCGGCTCAGCAGGCACCAATCACATGTTGGTCTTATTTGGGGTTCTGGTTATAAAATAAACTACCTTGCTATTATTTAATTAGCATTAGTATATGAAAATTAGGAAAATGATTAAACTTGTCTAATTAAAGGTATGTTTTTTAAATAAAAGATTAGCTTGATCTCTTTTGAAATATTTACAGACAAATGCTCTGATGCTTGAGTTCCTTCAGGATGATCTAATGCAGAGGTTCTCAACCTGTGGGTCACAATTACTTTGGCAAATTTCTATCTCCAAAAGTATTCATGTTACAATTCATAAAGTAGCAAAATTACAGTTATGAGGTAGCAATGAAAATAATGTTATGGTTGGGAGTCACCACATGAGGAGCTGTACTAAAGGGTCACAGCATTGGGAAGACTGAGAGCCACCACTAACAGGATGGGAAGGATAAGAAAGGGTTTATGTATTAACAAAAGCATGTGTGAGGATTCACAAGGTGGGTCCTGTGATCATTATTCCATTGCCTACTTGTGAATATATACACACATTATTTTACTAAAAATTTAAGAAGTCCTATCTCATCATTTGAGGAGACTCAGGCACATTCCCTGATCATCTCTGCCCTGGAGCACTGGCTGCTGATCTGAACCTGTCCCTTTTCTATCCTGCTTGAACCACGTTCAACCTCAAGCCAGCTGCATGTTAGAATTTGGGGGGAAGAATAGATGAAAATCATGACTTTAAAATGTAAAATGACTTAATTTGTAGCATCGAATACATTAAAGAACAATTGTTAAAACTAAGACAATAATCACTTAAATCAATTATTATTGGTTTTATTACCCATTCAAAAAAAAAAAAAACAACTATTTTCCAAATACATTTACAAGTCATTCAGCGTGATAGAACACAATGGAAGTTTCAGGTTCGGGAAAAGGGGCTTTGAACTAAGTTACTGCCCTGATCACTCAGAAGTATGTTAGTTATGGAGATGCTGAGAAGTTCAGCATGGTAGTAAAGCAAATTCAGAAATCAAATGCTACTACCAATAACTTCCTACATAACTTCAGGCTAAATGTTTAAAAAAAAAAGAGGTTCATTATCTTACCAAATTAGAAGGGACAGACACCGTTGGAAATAACCTCCTGAGAAGGTCTTTGGACTCTAACTCAGTAGCTTCCACTTGTTGCCGTCTTTCCTAAAGCAAAAGACAGATGAGATCATCTTACAATATTAGACAATGTTCAAATAGGAAAATAAAAAAAAGTATGACCTTTTAAGCTCTAATGGAGGAAAAAGACAATTTTCAAAGCTTATTTTAATATTGAAAAGTATCAACTTTTCTCACTTTAAGGCATTAAAGCATACTTCCTTAAAGATAAAAATTTCCAAATCTCTAAGCATAGATAGCAAATAATATCTTAGTTAATCAATCCAAAGTAGTTTGGCATTAGAAGTAAAGGGATGTGCCACTCTAGTAACATTCCAAACACACAATCCTTCCCACCAGTCAGTCTTACAGAGGACCTGACTACACAATCCTTCCCACCAGTCAGCCTTACAGAGGACCTGACTATGGAATACGCATCTGGGCAAGCCGGAAGCTTCCTGACTCGTAAAAGTTCACAAAGGAAGCATGGACACTTTCCTATTCTGCTCTTCAAGGTCAGATCAAGCTATTTCTGTTAAACAAAGCAGAAAGGAGCAATTGTGATCGGCAGTAGAAGTGGGGAGAAGGACGGCTGAGACTCATCACTTCACTAACTCAGTTTCCATGTGCTCAGTAAGATGAGTGCTGACACACAGTGAGCTGTACACTGCCACTATTACTAATGTTCAATCTAAATATGGTGACTTTTAACTCCAATTGTAAGTTCAGAAGTATATCTGGCAAAATGAGGGGCACAATTGGATCAGATACACACATATCCCCTCAAATCTAATGCTCAAATTATTTCTACAAGATTTTTTTAAAAGACAGCTATAAAAATGTACACCAAAACCAAACCAACACAACCATTCCATTACTGCTGGAGTCCAAGAAACAAGAGGTGGCAAGCGCCACCTCAGCACTCTCACGAGCTCCTTGATGTCTGTTACTGATTTAAAACACCTACAGTTCAATTTAAGAAAACTTTAATTACATGAAAATCTAAATTTACACAATAGAAACCAATATTTCATATTCTATGCACACTAAAAGCTAATATATTATTAAAGATTAGTTGGCAATATTTTAGAATAGCTGTTTTACTCGTACACATGTACCTAATACAGAGTACAGTATATTTACTGGAAGGCCACTGCTATTTCAGAGGTAATCAAGAGATCACTGTATCATCTGACTACAGATATGCAGAGCAATCTTAAAGGAAAAGATCTTTTGGAACAGAGGCATCCTAGAAGCAGAGAGGAAGGCTCACTTGTAGTCAACAGCCACTTAGTAAGCTACTTCATTCTATAGGAAATGTTTTAGCTACAGAGTTTTCATTTGACATAAATTTGGTTGTAAACAGTAATTTCTACTCAATGCCTGAAAAAAAGATCTATTTTAGAAATCTGATTATTTTCTTGGTACCACCATTGATGGATTATTTCCTTAGTAATACCACTAATTAGAATATGTAAAACATCTTTTATGTAAGTCTATCATTACAGTTTCTAAAGAGAATTTAGTGTTTTAAAAGTAACTCCAGGCTAGGTTTGGTGGCTTATGCCTTTACCCAACAGGGGCAGAGGCAGGCAGGCAGGCAGAATTTGAAGCTATCCTGTTCTAATTAACTAGTTCCAGGCCACCCAAGGCTGTTACATAGTGAGACCCTGTCTGAAAAGAAAGTAATAAAACAAACTTTCCAGAAGCTGGTATGGTGAGGGTTTGTTTGTAATACCTGGACTTGGGAAGCTGAAGCAGGGGGACCTCAAATGGACTACATACTGAGACACACACACACACACACACACACACCCCGGGGGGTGGGAGGGAGGAGGAGAAGAACCTCATTAATAAAAACATCTGAAAACAGTATGCTACCAAGTTTAACTATTTCTAACCCCTAAAACACTAACAGTGCTTTATGAAGTCACATCACAATTTGTGGCACTTAGTAAATCATTTTACACCCAAGCTATGAAAGGATTCTCAGTTCTGCTAATAGAAAACTGCAGTCTATCCTCATAGCTCGTTAGCTTTGCAAACTACCATGCACACACTGGAGCTCCCTTTTGCATTAGAGGATGCAACAATTCCCTATGCAGGAAAGGCACAAAGTCTTTTAGTTCTGAACAGTGAAAAGTCCATACTAAAACTCCCCTTGCTGCCAGAGATGGCTGTACAACAGGAACCCTTCACAATTGAACAAGACCTGTGCCGCACAGTGTCTGGAATAAATTCCTCTGGCAGTAATAGCTGTCAACAGTCTCAACTTAAAGCTTAATGAAAATTTACGTATAAATCTATTGTGTTAAAGGAAATATAACTATACATAAAAATTGGCAAATCATAAAATGGCATTCCACTAAGAAACTGTTTCAAAATCCTTAACACTTTTGTTATTAAAACGTAATAGATTATCTTGGCGCATAAACAACTTCAGAATGTGGAATTAACCTTTTGAGGCACTCACTAACCTGGCTTCACAACCCAGTATTCATGTTGCACACACACACACAGCTGTGCTAACCTTTCTATCACTCTCCATTATGATCCTGCTCCCCAGTACACTTAAGTACTAAGAAGGATGTCCTTAGTCGATTTGAAGATAAAGGGGACGTGCGCCTCAGAAGTACTTTACAGTCTCATCACCCACTCATACGAATACTACACACGGAACAGACATGGGTGCAACTACTGTCCCGCATCTTCAAACTACAAAGTGTAAGGCTGTGTCTCTGAGGAATCTTCCCCAGTAGCATACTGTGAATGGGCCCTTTTTCTGTACTAAGATTTTGCTGTCTTCCTCCCTTGTCTGAATCTCCTGGTATGCTCCAGAACCCCCACTTTACTATGCACCGCAAACACATGCTAGGTTTTTAATTCGCTCCATTAATTCACTCAGATTTTTCTGATTTGGGAATCTCATCGAAGTTCTCTTAACTACACCAAGTGGCACAGCATGTGATGAGGAAGGACCTGCACACACAGTATGGAGTCTTCTGAGATCTTTCCCCTAAAGCTGTGCGCACCAAAACACCCACAGTGGGCTCATCCCAGCACAGAGTGCCCAACTCAAGTCTCAGGGAGAAGATGAAAGGCAGATGATGAGGACAATAAACATGGGTGACAAGGAGCTGCTGTATTTAAATGGTTTGGACTGAAGCAAAAGGGAACCAGTCTGGTCTGGACAGGCTGCAGACTGCAATGGCAGTCCTGGGAGTTAATTACAACCTTGGAAGTCTTGCTCACTCTCTCCTGCAGCATTTTTTCAGTTGATGCCAATGCTTCCATTGCTTCCCAGTTTTTCTCCCGAAGGTCCTAATCATTTTTAGAAAGAATGATTTCAGTTTATCCATTATTAAAAGATTTCTCCTTTAACTTCATCAATATTTTGCACTGCATTTAAATGCTGGTTATTGCAAAATTATTCAATAGGAAAATGTGTATTAGCAAAATAATAATAATAATGTTTAGAAGTCTGAATGGGAAAGTAAGGATGTCCACACTTCTCATGTTTTAGTATGCACACCAAATATGCCATTCTTTAAAAAACAATTAAGTTGGCACAGGTGACAAAGAAGAAAGCATTCGAAGGTAAACAGGCCAATCAGGACTACAATTATGACTTCAAGCATTACAGCTAAGGACAGAGCAAATACACAGTACTGCAAAATACTTCTCATGTACTAGTAAAACAATGCCCAACGTCAGCCTCACAGAACTTTACTGAGTAACATTTTTTTTCCTGTAACTCTATTTTAGATAAAATTAGCACATTTCTAATTAAAGCCTAACCCTCTGTGCTCTGTATTTGGTACAGTCGAACAGGGATGCCACAAGCAATCAGACACAACTGAACTCGGCAGCTGACTGAAGCAACTGAGGCAGAGAAACTATAACACATTCTCGTTAAGAAAAAACTGGGCCCATTTAAAAGTGAGCTTTGAAAGAAAGCATTTCCTTAGCAAACACAAATAAAAACAAGATGCTATAATTCATCTTCACAATTAAGAATATTAAACAAAAATTAAAAGCCAATAATTACCATTTATTGCCAATTTAGGAGCCAAATACTGTATTTAGCACTACGCAAATTCTCATTAGTCCTTACAACAATTTGTAAGATTTTTTAATTCTCACTTTATAGATGGGAAACCACAGCCGAAAGTTAAGAAATCTGGCCAAATGTCTGAGTGGGTTGAAACTGCACCCTGCCGGCCTCCACTGTCCTGGCTCATTACAGACTTGAAATGAAGACTCACAGCCACCACTGTGCTGAGGGAACTAAATAAACTATAGTTCTATGCCCTCCTTACCTCAGAATTCCAGCAAAACAGTTAGTTACAATGTTAGAACTATATTGGAACAATCATACCAAATTCTGTGGTAAGTAATGCTGTTAGTAATTAATACTGCGTAACACGCAAAGAGCAACTCACATGCCAAACTTTCAAATTCAGGGTGAAGAGAAATGCCTGTATGTTAGTTAGCAATTTAAACAAACTTTGAAAGATTTAAATTATATTAAGAAATACATATCTATTTATCATCAAGAGTCTATCATTAAATAACATTTTGGTTTGTTTACAAGACAAGCATACTTTTGTGTGACAAACACTTCCCTAGCAAGAATACTTGGACTCTACTTATTACTCTCTTTTGTTAAGAGAGAACTTATGAAATCTAGCTGTATCTACTCTTTGTCTGCTTGGTAAGGATTTATAGTTCTTAGAGTCAGCCATTCCCATCTTAGTATAAATTTATTCAAGTTCTAAGACCACTAGCAGACTTAATTGCCAACATGTGTACTGCCCCTTCCTTACTTTAAAAAAGGGTAGTTTACAGAAGGCTTTCCAAGATTGGTTACAAAGACTGAAATATTTCTTTTAGTCTATCAGAAACACACAGACACACACAGACACACACACACACACACACACACACACACAAATTAGTCCTGTTTAAGAAAAAAGAAATGCCTTTGCTTTTAAAATAACATTGGAAGACTTATTTTTGTAAACAAGTTTTAACATGAAGTCAACCATATTTTTTGTATTTTAGAAAACTTTTAAAAGTCTATTCTGCTATTTTTCATTATAAAAATTTATCTTTTTAATATTAAAACTGCATCATAATAAAGTGATTTACTCTATTAATGCCCCAGACACAAAGAAACCAAAAGTGCTCTCACACAAGAGCACTACAGATGAAGAGATCTTTCAACACTAATTCTCTGGAATGGGAAGTCTGGTGCTCATCAATAGGGGCTTACATTGTTTTTCTTCCTCTGATGTTCAACAGCATTCTTCAAAGACGTTAATTCATTGCAGAGATCAGTTATTTCTTTCTCTTTCTCTGAAATTCTAAATAAGAACATGAATATATTTTAGGTAAACAGCATCTAAAATAAACAATAATATAACTTACATATTAGGTAAATAGTTAATATCATTCCGATACCTACATATCAATATTTTTAAAACAAAATAAAAACAGCAGGTGATAGTTTAAAATGTAATCATTGATCAGCTACTGTTTGCACAGAAGAGCCCATCCTACAATTCTTTATTTCAAAGGCAGTCTTTCAGGCTAGATGTAGCTCCCAGTAGTAGAGTATTGCCTAGCTAGTATGCCTAGGTCCTGCTTTCAATTCCCAGCACATGAAGCCCACACATGGCTCCTACAATTCCAGCACTCGGGTAGTGGAAGCAGACCAGAAGTTCAAGGTCATGTCAATGTCTAAAACGGGGTTGGGGTGAGTTCAGTACAAAGACAGTCTTTACAGGCATTTATTTTAAGGCAATTAGGTTAGTTATGACTACTTGGTTCATTAAACCAACAACATTATATTAAAGTGATCTGGCATTCGCTTGTTGTTTTTACCCAATCTTAGGGTTTGTGGCTTTGGTTTCTCTTTGATTTTCTCCTTCTCCTGTCTAATCCCTTGGTTATTTCCCAGAAAAGCAGAAAGAAAAGGCAAAATTTCAAAATTCATTTGTGTTATTCCTGACCAATCACAAACAGCTTCCTTAAGACTGTATATAAAGGATTGCCCAACAATCAATCTGGTCCCTGAGCTTAAAAGCTGTTATATTTTAGAAATGAAGTGCTTCCTCACAATGACTGTGTGATGGTGGTCGGCATGCTATTTTGAAATTGGTCTGATAGCACCCATATGGAAAATGTTATTACTTGAGAAGGAGCACTGAAGGTATCTTATTCCCAGCCCAGATCCTCTAAGGTGGGTTTCATAATATCCTCTTCTCCCTGTTATAGCCCAGTCACTAAAGTTAAGGACAATGGATCGCCAAGCATCATTGTGTCTCAGTAATAAGTATGATTAACATAGTAATACATGGTTTAAAAATTAAAATTGAGCCGGGCGGTGGTGGTGCACACCTCTAATCCCAGCACTTGGGAGGTAGAGGCAGGCGGATTTCTGAGTTTGAGGCCAGCCTGGTCTACTGAGTGAGTTCCAGGACAGCCAGGGCTACACAGAGAAACCCTGTCTCGAAAAAAAAAAAAAAAAAAGATAAAATTGGAGCTAGAGCTAGAATGAGAGCTCAGTGGTTAAGAGCACCTGCTGCTCTAGCAGAGGACACAATTTGAGTTCCCAGCACCCAGGTCAGGCCAAGTACAACCCCTTTTACTCCACTTTCAGGGAATACAATATCTGCTTCTGACTCCAAAGGCACTGTACGCACATGGTGCACATCCATATAAACAAAAATAAAATAAAGCCCACATATACACAAAACAGAGTAATAAGACAAAACTGAGACTTGTATGGTCTCTAAAGCCACTATGAGCTTACTATAGAAAATGTTTACACTCTGACTTCACACAGTCAAACTCAAGCCTACTAAACAACCAAGCCTACAAACAAGCCAAGATGCAAGAACATTTAGACTACCGTCATCTACTGATACACTTAATATGGTTGGCATTTAATATTTTGGAACAAACAATACACGGAAATGATTAATTACTAGCCTCTTAGAGAAATTAGAGGCCAACAAAAGAAAAAAATTTCAGTTTCTTAAAAAAAATAAAAACACTGCAGGGCGGTGGTGGCGCACGCCTTTAATCCCAGCACTTGGGAGGCAGAGGCAGGTGGATTTCTGAGTTCGAGAGTTCGAGGCTAGACTGGTCTAGAGAGGAGTTCCAGGACAGCCAGGGCTACACAGAGAAACCCTGTCTCGAAAAAAAAAACAAAAAATAAATAAAAATAAAAACACTCTAAAAGAGAACTATAACAACAAGTTTTCACAAGAATGCCGCAGTGGGAGGAGCCTGCACACTGGCCCTGAGTGGGATACAGAGCAAGCACGGGGCTGGGCTGCACGGCCTCCGACGTCAGCTCCGTCCCCGAGTTCCTCAATGTCTCCAGGAGACAAGAGGAGGAAAGTAAGCCCCAACTGCCCCCTCAACAAAATCCTGGGCGAGCGAGCGGCATGCCTCGAGCTGTGTGCATGGTGAGCACAAGCAGAGCAGTGCACACGGGCCTGCAGCCCAGATCACGCAGACACAGCTGCTGTGCTTAGACCAGCACTTGGGATTACATAAAATAACTTGTCTGAAGGTAATTCAGCATTTAACTCTATAACACATCAAACTCTGAATCAACGAATTACTTACACTGTCTGTAATTCTTCCTGAGAGGGAAAAGATGCCTATTAAAAGAGTTAAATATTAGTTCATAATAAAGATTTCTAGAACATTAAAAAAAATTAAATTCTTCTTGGAAATAAGTCAACATAGTTAAAAATATCATATACTCCATTATATCATCATGTCTGACTTTAATTAAGTGGTTAATAAAAATATGTACAAATTTATTATGTGTAATGAGTAGTAAATTCAATTTTCACTGTCCCTCTATAAAGTCTTTACTTAGTAAGAACTTACAAATTTCAAACTGTTTAGCATCAAGGTGCTTTTCATATTGACTTCTAAAACTATCTAAATAAAATCAACAAATAAATTAAGAGCTGATTTTCTCACATCTAACCAAACAAGTGATTTTGTTATAATATACAAAGGAATACAGCTTTCACATATAGGATATATAGTATGATGATTTAGTCAAACTCAACTATCAGGAGCTGCTGACAACAGGGAGTCTTGACTGTTTAACAAAATCCATTCTGGTCTACCCATGCGTGTTCATAAAAATGAAGGGTAAGGCTTGAGACTTTGTTCAATGATAGTATACTTGCCTAGCATGCACAAGGTCCCTGGGTTCAACCTCCAAAATGCAAAAACATGCATATGTTTTATATATATATATGTGTGTGTGTGTGTGTGTGTGTGTGTGTGTGTGTGTGTGTATGTATATGTGTATATCTTCTTAAACATATTTTTGTTTTTACCAAGCAGAAATACCTATTAAAGGGCATATTAATGCTAGCCCATTACTTATAGTAGCAATCTTTCCTATGTATTAGGTTCTTTCCAATTATTGATGTTTAAGGACAGAAGAAAGGCTGTTGACTTAGATTTAAATAGACCTCTCCAAGACATGAGCTGCCTTTCTAAGAAAAGCATTATGTATGATAGGAGGAGCATATGCAAGACACAAGCATGTGTTTATACAACAGAGCTAGAACACTGATCAGGGTACACACCTCCATCTGTATAACAGAGCTGGAACACTGAGAGAGTACATACATACACACATGTGTATTGTAATGGAGCTGGAACACCAACTGGTGTAAACATGCACCCACTTGTATATTGTAATGGACCTGAAACATTGATCAGGGCACATATATGCATAATGAAGCTGGAACACTGATCAGAGTACACACACACGTGTGTGTGTGTGTGTGTGTGTGTGTGTGTGCGACCTGTAACTGATCAGAACATACATGCACACACATGTATATAATAAAGCTGGAACCTTAATCAGAAAACGAACCACACAAATGTATATATAATAAAAACAGAAAACACTGATCAGAACACATATGCACACACATATATGTATATGGTAAAGCTAGAGCATTGATCAGTGCATACATACATGGTTATTATAATGGAGCTGGAGAACTGATCAGTGCATACACCTATACATGTGCACATACGGCAGACTTGGAACGTTGATCAGAGCATGCACATGTATATAAGCAAGCTGGACCATTACATGTACATATTTTATAAATTACACATTATTTTATCTCATACATTACATAATAAATTGCCTTTATAGGAAATTTGTTAAATAAAAGAGCCACTGCTTTACTCTCTGGGAACATGTAAATATGACATGGAGGTGTAAACAGTAAAAGGTGACAGACACACAGAATAGTACCTACCTGTTGGTGGTTCTGATGATTGAGTTGTTCCACTTGGGACTTAAATAATTTATTTTCATTTTGTACTTCCTATTTAAACAAAAATTAAACATAAATACCTAGACAGAGATTATGATTTCTTATTTAAGTTTTTAAATGTCATACAGTCCAAAAGTATTTCACAATAGTAACAATTTTAAAAGGCTAGATTAAGCCACATTAAAACATAAATGATAGTAGTTGTGTTTAGTTCTAGTCCTGACAGGTATGTGTTGGGAGAATGAACCGACGCGACCCGTGTCTAGTGCAGGGTGGCATGCATCTGGGAGGAGAGGTTTCTCACGCTTCGTACTGCAGCATTTGTGATAGGCTGTTCTGTCATCTAGTACTATAAACAGGCTCCAGAGAGCTGCAGCAATAACCTGAGACATCTGCTCCCATTAGTAAATAAACACCCTCAGGGGCAGAGCCAGTGCAGTGCAGACAGACTATTTATTAACAGCTACCTTCTTTTCCTAAGAGTAGAATGCTACTCTCACAACACTGTGAGGTAAATTACATATGAACTAAAAATATGTAAGTAAAAAATGTACTTAAAAAGAAAACAAAAATGTATTATAATCACAAAATGAGCATTCTTTACCCCTATGACTTAAAACAGGACCATGCTTACATCTGAGTAGATAAACAGACTCAGTTTTTTGAAGAGGGGGTGGGATGCAAAGGAAGTCAAACTTCACATAATTACATAAAATGGTATTATAAATTAGGTTTTATAAAAGTTATCCTAGGGTGCTGGATGACTGCTCTTCCAGAGATACTGAGTTCAAGTCGCAGCAACCATCTGTAATGGGATTTGATGCCCTCTTCTGGTGTGTCTGAAGACAACTACAATGTACTCATACGAATAAAATAAATAAATTATTTTTTTTAAAAAGTTATCCCAGCCGGGCGGTGGTGGCGCACGCCTTTAATCCCAGCACTCGGGAGGCAGAGGCAGGCGGATTTCTGAGTTCGAGGCCAGCCTGGTCTACAGAGTGAGTCCCAGGACAGCCCGGGCTATACAGAGAAACCCTGTCTCGAAAAACCAAAAAAAAAAAAAAAAAAAAAAAAAAAAAAAAAAGTTATCCCAGAAGAAAAACTGTAGAACAAAATTAGAAGAGCAATTAATGTACAAATGACTTAAAGATACTAAGAGATCTCCTCTTCCCTCAGTCTAAAGCAATAGAAAACAAGCCTTCTTTTCAGGGATGACATCACATGAGCACCTTTAGCCAATGTTGGACAAGAAGGGGAAACAGGCCTGTTGGCAAGAATATAAATAAGGAAGAACGCACTCAAGGAGCAATTCAGCATGGCCTAACAAAGCCAATTGTAAATGTACTTAAGGGAGAGAGGGAGGGCAATATAACAACTGTTCACCCTAGAGCATGAAGCATGGGCCAGGCTGCTTGAAAGTACTGCATGTGGCTACGAACCTGCTGCCCCTCAGGTCAACATCATTTTTTTTTTTCCTTTTTTTTTCGAGACAGGGTTTCTCTGTGTAGCCCTGGCTGTCCTGGAACTCACTCTGTAGACCAGGCTGGCCTCGAACTCAGAAATCCACCTGCCTCTGCCTCCCAAGTGCTGGGATTAAAGGCATGCGCCACCACCGCCCGGCAACATCCTATATTTTTAATAGTAACTACATGAAAGGTAAGATCTGAGCTTCTCTTTGAACTATTAATAACTCAGAAAATAAAGCAACCTTGTATAAACCATTAACAAAAACTTTTACTTCTAGGAAGGTATAAGACAAATAGTATTCAAAATATATAGGTAAAGACAGCCATTAGGAGTATATTTTTTTAACTGAAGAACAAACCTAAATATATTAGGTAACTTTACCAGCTGGAATTGCTTATATAATACAATAAAGAACATTAAAGGTAGCTGGGCATAGTGACTCACACCTTTAATTCCATCATTCAAGCTCAGAAGCAGGAAAACTACAAGCTTAAAGTTAGTCTGGGTTCAAGGCCAGGCTGAGCTAACATAACTAGATGCTGTCTCACAAAAACCTCAATACCATAAGCTACTACTATAGGTAAAGAACAGAGCATTGTTTGGAGGACACCAGGCCTTGGATTCCTTGGATTTGATCAGCACAAAACAAAACTCTATTAGAAAGCAGAGAAAGGCACTTCTATAAAAAGTCTTAACACTGGAACTTACTGAGTACTTTCTCAAAAGACGGAAGCAGGCCACCTAACACACACCTCTGATAGCAATCACACAGCCTACAGGAAAAGCTCATATTACACTGCTTCCTTCTACAGGAGTTGGACCATTTCTAAAACAACCCCAGAAAATAACTCCTGCAGTAATGAAGTTTTAGTAGTCACTTACCTTTAACAGCTCTGACTGCTTACAAAGATCACTCTCCGTGTCCTTTAATTTAGCGTCTAGTCTCTTAATTTCATTGTCCTTTTCTTTCAACCTAGGATTTTTACAAAGCCCTTACTTTACTAATGTACATGGAAAAGAAAAAACATACTCTGATATTACTTCTAATAAAAAGACAGCACAAACAATGCCTAGCCACCATTTCTTTCTGTATTCTATTAACTTGACTACACTGTGAGACCCTGTCTTTAAAAAAGAAAATGACAGGATAGTCAGTGCTCTTAACTGCTGAGCCATCTCTCTCCAGCCCCCAAAAGGGTAGTTCTTAAAACAAATATCAATCAACGTTGATAGACATCCTGGCAAGAAAAACTTTCCCTGAGCCAGCGATGTAACTCATCGAGCAAGGAAAGGCACCAAGCCTGACAACCTCAATTCAATCCACAGGCCAACACAGTTGGAGAAAACTGAGGCCCACAAATTGTTGTTCAGCCTACACACATATACTGGGGCTCAAACACACAAATACAAAAAATATTTGTTTAAAGTAATTCTTGAAAAACTTTTTCCATCTTTACTTTGTGTAGTTTAAGAAAAATCAATGTTTGCTGATTGTGGTGGTTTGAAAATGCTTAACCCAAGACTATTAGATAGAAGGTGTGGCCTTGTTGGAGTGGGTGTGTCACTGTGGAAATGGGCTTTGAGTCCCTCCTCCTAGCTGCCTGGGAAACAGACAGACCTCTCCTAGAAGCCTTCAGATCAAGATGTGGAACTCCCAGCCCCTTCTCCAGCACCATGTCTGCCTGGACACTGCCATGCTTCCCGCCATAAAGTAACTGGACTGAACCTCTGAACCTGTAAACCAGCCCCAATTAAATTTCTTCCCTTATAAGAGCTGCCTTGGTCATCGTATCTTTTCTCAGCAATAGAAATTCTAACTAAGACACTGATCATGGTGGCTTACACTGATACTCCCATGAGTTGGGAGGAGGAGGTATAGGTTCAGGGTTAGTGTGAGGTAGCTTGATCTACCTAGTAAGGTTTAAGCCAGCCTGGGCAACAAAATGAGACTCTGTCTTCAAAAAATGACTTTTGCAGGATTAAAAACATACTGTTGTAGTATGAATGCCTGAGAAAACAGATCTCTATGATGCTAACTATTGGTGCTATTTTTATTACTCAGCATAGAACTTGACAAGATCCATGTTTCCTATAAGCAAGTATAATTATGATATGTCCATGATTTGTTTTGGCTATGATTATTCCTGATTATATAGAAGTCAATTGATTTCTTCTTTATAATTATTGCATAATTTGAAAAAAGTCTGTATTTGCAGAAAAATACTGGATGAAATGGGCAAGCCTTTAAGTATTCTAAAGCACTGACGTGGTCTCTGCTTTATCACATAACAAACAGAAACTTCTCTTAGTTGTCTCTCGACTATAACTAATACTTAACCATGAAATCAATGGCCTTTTAGAAACCCTTATAAAAATGGATCTTAAGCATATTCTGGCAAACTTTACCAAAATGCTAGCTAAAAACATACTTACACATTTTCAAGTTCTTCAAATCGTGGTGTCGAACACACCTAAGAAACAGATTCACTTTTTTAATGTTAACATCAAAACAAATCAAGTATTACAAAATACATGCAGAACCACCCAACAATAAAATAAAAACATAGTTATGTGGCAAATTCAAGATTAGATTGCTTATTAAAAAAATGAAATGCTAGCCGGGCGGTGGTGGCGCACGCCCTTAATCCCAGCACTTGGGAGGCAGAGGCAGGCGGATTTCTGAGTTCAGCCTGCCTGGTGTACAGAGTGAGTTCAGCCAGCCTGGTGTACAGAGTGAGTTCCAGGACAGCCAGGGCTACACAGAGAAACCCTGTCTCGAAAAATAAAAAAAAAAAAGTGTTTTTCTAAAGGACCACAGATTACTATACCAAGTAAACAGTTAAGCATAAGCCTAGAGTGCATTTGACAAAGGAAGGAAAAAGAAATGCCTGACAAATCAGGTCATTAAAGATGGTTTGACAGTAATAAAAGTTTACTTACTTTAACAGCAATAACTAAACTATGACACAAGAGAGAAACTGAGAACATATGCCTTCTTATTTTCTAGAGCATTACACGGAATGGGCAACTGCTTTGGACGCACACTGCCATCCGTGTATACTGTACCTCTGGCAAATTAGGCTGTGCTACTTCCTGAACAGGAGACTTTAAAGACTCATTTTCTCCCTGATATCCTTAAAAAGAGCAGATGTGAACTGATACTCAGATATCTGGACAAGGGTTGCTTTCTCTTGTGTTTCAAGGGTCTCACCTGTGTGCACCTCCCTCTCTCTGTCAGGTCTCTGTCCCTGTCTTCTAAAGCAGCCTTCATGCTGTTCACCTGCTCTTCCTTGCCTCTTAATCTGACAAGAGAGAAAGAAAATTTTTACAAGATTATAAAAAGCAAAAGTACTGAAGACTACAAAAATATCTCAAGTGTTCTTATAGTTCAAGTCCACTTGACTGTTGTAGAAATAAGTATTTCTACAAACCATTTCAATATAAAGGAATACAAGATTCATGACACCAATTAAAGAAAAGCCCCCTCTCACTTCCTGGGCAGAGTGGACAGATGAGCGCAGCTCTACGCTTACCCTGTCATCCCATCCAGGCAGCCTCAGTAAACTCATACAGCTTAGGAAAACAGCTGAGGTGTCAAATGCATAGCAGGTTTCACATGATCATTAAAATAAGCAAGAAGTAACATTTCCAATTAAGATATACTCAGAAATAAATCTCCTTCCCACAAAACAAAAACAACAAAAAAACTTAGCAGTTGTTAAAATATAATGAAAACCTAAAATCTTTTGAAACAATTTAGTATTTTCCAGAACACTGAAATCAAATATAAAAAGGCCATAATTTTCATTAATTTAACTTGTAGGGAAGAGCTATTTCTAGGAAAATGAGACAAATGTTACTTACAAGTTCTGCAGCTCCTGGACTTGAGAAGTGACAGATAGCTAAAACATAACGGACAGAGAAAGCGATTCACCAGCCTTTCTTTAGCCATATCGAGCCTCATGTTATAAATCTTTATAATGTATACATTTTAAAATATGAAAGCCCAAGCTCAGGCCAAAACAAGACGTGTTTACATTTCACCTCCTCTTTTTCCAATGGCGACAAAAGTAACAAGGAGGAGTCAAGAGAGAGAAGATGATTATAAATGGCCTGTATAAGGTGGTATTTCTACAGGTGAGACCAGGGGTCCTCATTCAGTAACACCTTCATACAGTAACAAAAAGCTCTAGCCCAGTCTTCAAAATATCTGCACTACAGTGGTCTAGTGTCTTCCTTAATTTCCTGTTTATATATGTATTTACTTATGATTTTGTATGTCTTAAATATATGTGTGTGCGCATGTGTCTGTGAGCAAATGTGAAAGGCCATAGAGGTCATCATGATTCTAGACTCTTCTACTGTTGTTTCTCCCCTTATGTTATGGGACGAAGTCTCTCACTGAACCTGAAGCTCACTGATCTGGTTGACTGGCCAGTGAGGCCCAATGACCTTTCTGTGTCTACCTCCCTGCTCAGATTCCAACTGCATACTGCCATCTCCGCCCTTTACACAGGAGCTGGATGTCTGGACTCCAGCCCTCGAGCTAGCACAGTGAGCACTTTCCCTGATGAGCGACTCGACCCTTAGTAAGTCAGAGGCAATCTCCATTTTTCCCCCTCCTTCTCAGCCCTGTTTCACACGTCAGCTCTTTGAGAGGAGCCTCTTCTGAAGTTATCAGTCACTGAGCACACTCCCTCCAACCCTGGACAGGGCTTTGATGAACTGCTGTAATCTTAGTCCAATGGATGAACAATCATCTCTCCTGTACAATCTCGCCATCTTAATGAAGACTTGTCAGATTAAATCTCATAAAACCCATCTACCAAATAAAAATGTCTACTTCTAAGATCTCCAAGGAAACTTACTTTTTTCTACAGTCAGAGGATGAATACACTCTTTAAGAACATATTCTGATCCATGCAGTTTATGTTCTGTAGTTTGCATTTTTTTAAGCTGACTAAAATGAAACATTAAATACAGAAAACTTTTTCTAGAAAAGGGCTTAGTAAAAGGTTTAAAAACAAATATATTTGTAGCAAACTACTAAAGAATAATTTTCTAAATAACAAGGGAAACAAAAATTTAAAGTAGCTCACAAATAAAATATACACTAATTCATCTGCCATGCTGTGGCTCTGAGATGTTTACCTGGTGAGCCTTTTCAAGCTGGGCATTTCCTATTTCTTCTTTTAGAACCTCTATTTCCTGTTTCAAAGCCTTGACAATGATAAAACAGACAAGATTGGACAATGGAAAACACACTGAATTGACAAAGAATGTAACATACAAACACATAAAAATCAAATGGTTTAACTCAAGTTGATAAACAGAAAGGCCAGACACTGTTCTCTCCTAATACCTGAACAGTTTTCTCCTTATTAGCAACTTTGAGAAGTTCAACTTCTAGAAGCTCTTCCACAGACTTGATCTGTCCATCTTTCTCATGGATCCTTAAATAAACAAATCAAGTATTAACCTGACTAGAAATCACTGAGATACACCAACTAAGATAAAGACAGCACCACATCATGAGAAGCCTGTCCCAACCAAGCCCTGCATCTACAGTGAGACGGTGACAACTTCAGAGACAAACAGAGAGAGATATCTAAAGCTCCTTTTCAGTAAAAATTCAATCAGCAACTACTAAACTCTATGCATACAAGAAGTTCGTGGCATACTCCAAAAATACACAGAAAATCTACTATTTGAACCATGAAGAATACCAACACCTGGTGGAGTTGAGTTTCATTCAATAACATTGACTACAGAATTTTAAGCTTACTACACAATATGTCATCAAAGCTGACAGGTACACTTCAAAAGAAGATATGCATGCATGAAACCTATTTCTCTGTGCAACATAAACTCATCTGTAATAGCTTCTACTAAACACATAAAATTAACAATTTGATGTCACATAAAAATAGAATCAATTATGAAAATGGTTTTTAAAAAAAAGATAAAGATAAAAATCTTTAAAATTGGGAAGCACAGCTCATCTCCCTAAGTCCACGGATGAGAAATTCTACAATGAAAGTCCAATTAATCCAAGTGTGGTATACACTAATATCTCAGCATTCAGGAAGGGGAGAATGGAGCATCAGGATGCCAGTCCCAGGTACTCAGGAAAGCCCTGGCTAGACTGCATCAGAAAAGAAGGGAGGGAGAGAAGGAAGAGGGAGGAAGTAGATGGAAGTAACGCGTGTCAATTATAGATAGATAGATAGATAGATAGATAGATAGATAGATAGATAGATAGATAGATAGATGTGCAATGTATGTCAACTCTTCCAAATAAATGGTAAGTTCCATCTAATTGTACTAAGAAAACAAGTCAAAATTAAAACCTAATTTATAACAATGTTATTACTTACACTCTCTTAAGATCTTCAATTAGAGATACAAAAGAAACCTAGAAACACAAAAAAGATGCATTATTTAGTACTTTTAAAATTGTAAGTGAAATAGAAATACATAATCCCTAAATTTGTTAGGATAAAAATCAAAAATGAAAAAGTAAACCCAGAAATTCTTTCTAGATTTTCTTAATGTCCTAATGGTAAAAAGGAATAACATTTTGAAAGTAAACAGATGAGACTCCCTGTAAGTACAGCCCAAAAGAATGATCACTAGACAAATGATCAAGTTACTTAATTATTAATTCTAACCAGGGGAGAAATTACACAGAAGAAATTGCTTCATTTCACATAGCCTTTTATGACATTGATACTCAATTTGTATGTGTAGTCAAAACCTTTCATTACTGTAGTTTTAAAAATGAAAATGGCCAGCAAGATGTTATGCAAGGCTGAGGACCTGACTTGCGTTCAATCCTACATAAATGTGGAAGTAGAAGACAGAGTTACTCCTAAGTTGTCCTGTGACATCTACAGGACAATCCAAGGTACCTGTGTACCTTCACACATCCTGTACACAGCAACAACAACTATCGTACATTTTCAGAACTTAAAAAAAATTGGGCTGAAGAGATGGCTCAGAAGTTGAAAGTACTTTCTAGTCTTTCAGAGGACCCAGGTTCAGTACTCAGCACCCACACAGCAACTCACAACCATCCTCACTCGCACACACTCCAATCCCAGGGAATCTGATGCTCTTTGGCCTCTGTGGGTACTGTATGTATACGTGATACACAGGCACACATGCAGGCAAAATACTCATACACATAAAATATCAGCAAATTTAAGTAGATAAAGAAAAACAAAAAGAATGAAATTTTATTTGGAAGAGATCACAGAATACAGATCACAGAATAGCAGGTACATAGTTTTGAATAAATTGCAGCTACTCAAGTTAGTAATCATTTATTGATTAAAAGTTTAATTGAAAATTCAGCCTTAAAAAAGAAACGACTCGGTGCCTTCTGCTTACTGTGAGAAGAAGCGTGTAGGATCAACAATACAGTACCTGATCGCTCTGCTTAGCCTTTAACTCTTGAACTTCTTTCGTCAGGGTGGAGTTTTCTGTTCTTATGGCCTTTTTTCAAAAACATAGAAGCACAACACACTTTTTTATTCTTGAAGCACTGGCTAGTTCAAATTAAGCTAGCCCACTCTTCCTCCTCTGCCCTCTCCCTATAACCTTTATAATTGGTCAACCATTTCATAATTCAATTATCACTATACATTCCAACTAAAATGGTGACATCCTCAAGGACACAATCTGTCATTTGTCAGTTACAACAACACAACGGTTATACATTCAATTACAACTCTTAATTTACTTTCTCAAAGGTCCATGTTACTCTAAAGGTGAGCAGTGAGGATCGCTCCTGATAATCTGAACATGGTTCCAAGAGGAGCACACCGACTACAACTATGACGGCATCTACCTGACTGAGGCGGTCAACACTAGAATCATCCTTGAAGTTCTAATTTCTAAAGAAATACCATTTAAGTTAAGTGAAAACTGTGTAACTTAGAACACTAGCACCCAGCTGTAGAAACAATCCCGTGAAGCCTTTCCAGACTGAAAGAATAACACGAGAAGACAATGGAGAAGTGGCTTACATTCAGCTCCTCCTCTCTGGTGGCCACCTGAATGAGTCCAGTTTCCAGTAATTCTTCGACAGTCCTTAACTTCTCATCTTTTTCTTGAATGCTGTAATTATAAATATAAAGCATACATATGAATGACTTGGTCAGGGTAAATACCATCCCTAAGTATTTTACATGGATCAACTCCTCTGTCAAACGTTCATTATGAAACTTTAATTCTAGAAAAATTTCTCGGGATCTCAATCATGGTGTTAAGGTGAACTCCTCCACAATAAATAAAACTTGCACAGATAATGTACTGACTGAAAGAAGCCTGAACAAGTCAATCAGTATCAAATGGCACCTACAAACATACCGTAAGGTAGCCCCGGCTAATCCATAGCCCAGGAGGCTCTTGTCTATCACAAAGTACCAGTAGTACTTTAAGAACCCAGATTACTACCGCTACCAATTCTGTTACCACAAATTTGAGAGGAAAATATAAAAATATAAAATATTTTCACCAAAATATAAAAACTTAAACTCTTACCATTTTTCCATTTGTTCCACAACATCTTTATTAGGCTAAAAACAAAAACATCAAGAAATGTTTAATTTTACCAAGTTTGCATATGATAAAAATTAGTTTAGAAAAAGAACTCTGTGGAAATAGTTTAGGATTCTAAATAGTTCCAAAATTTAGCCCTTACTCGACAACTGCTCACAAGTTTAATTTTTTTATCCAAAAGAGAGCAAAAAAGAATATGGACATACAGGCTACAAAGAGGAAAATGGCACTAGCAAAACAGACTTGCTCTCACCCCGAGTCTTAACTTAAGGATATTTGTAGTCACCTAGAAGACAGAAAATTTCTTCAAATATACGAATTTTACAACTTTAAGGTATGAAGTCTTAAGAGGCCTCCTTACTCTTTTTTCAACTGATTTTTTTCCTATATTGAAGTCTAATATAAATACAACTGCATAAATCTTATTTATAGTTCAATGGATTTTGAACATGTCGACATTATGAAAATACTACTAGGCCAAAGCAGATACTGTATTAAAAGTGCTAGTGCACTGCAGAAGCAGCAACACGAATAAAGCTCCTCACGAAGCACAGAGAACACGGCATGAGAACCGACCCATGCCCTTGACCCTTTGGTCCTAGAATTCACCCAACCTGTGTTCTCATTAGTCACCAGGGTTACCGTGTAAATGGAGGCAAAGATTTCAGCCTCAGCATTCTCAGACCTTTAGATAAGTCAGTATTCTAGGTGTGGGGGGTCTCCTGGCCACACCTCATGAACCAATTTCCTATTCCTGTTATTTTCTGATTTTTTTTTACTCTATCTCATTATAATCATATTTTTTTATTCAAAAATAAAATTAATGCTTCCATTGCCAAATCTGAGTCTTGAGATTCCACCTCCTCTATACGTCAAATCAGTCCTCACTTTACTGCGTACATTCCAGTCCTCAGCTTTACTCACCTCAAACTCCACAACGCCCTAAACTCTCTGTGTCTGTAGATCATAAGGACTGCTTTGTGAACTGCACAGGAAGACTGCTCAATGAAGAAAACTCTCCCATCATAAAAAAGGAGGGAAGAAATTCCCAAAATGTATATCATCAATCCGATAGTATACAAACAACTCATATAGAAGTTGCTTTTTATAAATTTAAAACTCTCATGAAGACAGTTTTTAATCCATACATGTTTCAACTAGCAAGTCCAGCTTACTGGGCTTTCCACTCAACCATGTCTGCTTCTCTGACTCCTAAATTCACTGTTAGCACTGTGACTTTTCTCAAATGTCCAGGTTTGTCTGTCCTTACAATGCTCCTCAGTGTTAGATCATCACAAGCTTTACACAACAAAGCTTCCTAGTCAGACCCTAGAAAATCTTCCACTAGCCCCTATATCCTATTCCTTGCACTTACACAATATCTTAGAATGCTGTGAATGTATGTCAATTCTGTGGCACACCACCATGCTACTCAAGTTTTTCTCTCCACCTGGATTACCCTCACTGTTTGGCAAATTGTTGGGCAAGTTATCTCCTGTGTCACCTTTCCATTCTTAAACAAAATCTAAACTGTAAACATATACACAGTTCAGGAATTTAAATCATCACACTTTTCTATCTATCCCACATAGAATCAAGTCTCATTCACCTCCAGAGCCTCAGCAAAGAAGTAAATACCTAATATCTCAACAAACACTCAAGCTCAGTTTCCCTTGCTGGTCATGTTGAGTTAAGTATGCTGGTTCTTCAATTCAAATCCTGACCAACGTTTTCACTGTACTGCACTTTACCGACCTAACCCAATCCTATGACTTCTTCCAGATAATTATGATTATTATCTTCATAATTCAGAATGATCAGGAAGAGTTGTGAGGAAAGAGAAGCAATCTCCCATCATTTTTATTGAGCAGCCTGATGATAGACTCTTAAAAGTCTCCTGGAGCAAAAATAAAGGCATCCTGCCGCTCAGCTATCAAGCCAGCAAGCCATGTCCAATGTGGTTTACACTGATAAGCAAGGGCTTACTAAGGGCACTATCTAGAGACTATCAAACCTGTACACAGTTATCCTCCCTTTCCTTGGTGCTTCATACCTGAAGACTCTGGTCTTTGCTCTTGCTACACCTGAAGAAACAACATGGCAAAATTACCAGTTTCTGCTTCAGTAAGTTTAACCTTAAAACCATCTGGCAAAAGAACTAAAATTTTTATATCACAAACCTGTTCTCTCTTAACTGTCATTTGGAATTCTAACTGCTAGAGGAGGTTGAAGAAAGTTGGAAATTAAAAGAAACTTAGGTATACTAACTTTTATCTCTTATTTCACTATCAGTAACAATAAAAAGGTGACTACAGAACAAGCCAACCAGTAAGGCTAGCAAGATGGCTCAGGAGGTAGAGGTGCTATTGCCAAGCCTGATGACCAGAGTTGAAGCCTAGGACTCACACAGTGGAGGAAGAGAACTGACTCCTGAACCACAGTACAGGCTGTCCTCTGAACTCCACATGCCCCAAAATATGTACATAATAATAAATACCTAAAGGAAACCAAAAGAAAAGTATAAAGTTTTTTGATTTGCTATGACAAAAGGTCTCAGGCATAACTCAAACCTATGTAAGTCATTCAGGTACCTTTTATTTTATTTTTCTTCCGAAACTAGAGAACACATTTAGGAATTACCCAATAGCAGATGGAAATTAGTTCCACAAAAATGACTTTCCCATCTCCTTGATTCTTTTAAATAGAAAACTGTGGCTACTAAAATTTATTCATAACATAAGAAAACTCTATGCCATACTACCAGATGTCATTTAACAGAACATCTAAAGTGTACAAAATATAACATAGGAAGCCGAGTAACAAAAAAAAGACAAAAAGAATTTTTTCAAAAATTCACACACATGCACACGCACACAGACATACACACAAGCATGCATACTCTCATATACAGACACACACACAGAGAGACAAACTCATATACACTCTCCATCTCTCTCACACACTCACCCCTATATAAATTAATAAATGTTTTTAAAAATAGAATGAAATATTCAGATTTTCTCTTTAAATCTAGGCATCTCTAGAGCCTAAAAACAGTTAAAACACTAGAATTTTTCTTCTTTAGAAGACCCTTACGTTTTTAGACATTTGTTTTACCCACAAAGAACTAACTTACAAATTTTTTAAGGCTTATATATTGAAATTTCTGGTAATTATTACATAAAAATTGCTTGCTATTTCTCCAGGTAAGGATTAATAGACACTGAAAAAAAATTATCATACCTTATCTAACCTAACCCACCAAAGTCAATGTCTGGAGTAACACCATTTTTAACAGTAAAAATTAATAACACTGGGCTGGAGAGATAGCTCAGCAGTTAAGAGCGAGCACTCACTGACTACTCTTCCAGAGGTCCTGAATTCAATTCCCAGCAACCACATGGAGGCTCACAACCATCTGTAATGGAATCCAATGCCGCCTTCTGGTGTGTCTGAAGACAGCTATAGTATCTTCTTATATATAAAATAAATAAATACATTTTAAAAAAATAAATAAATAAAAATGCTGCCAGCAAAGCTACAGCTGAAGATAACAACAGACACTCAAGTTTCAACGGTGGTCACTTGAGCTTGGGTTCCAATCATTTCTGGAGTACTTTATCATTCACAATCTATAATACAACAAATGAAAATATTTACATTTTTTCCATGCTATTTTACGCATTATACAAAGTAATAAAAATTACACACAGTATTGCATTTCACAGAAGGGAAGGAAAATGAAATTTGATAAACTGATTGTTAACAAATACTTCAAGCAGCACCTACTTACACCAATAATATACTTGCTTAATTGTAAACTTTAAAACAAAGAATGAAAATAACTCTAAAGGATGTGCTATCATTTCCAATAAATTTTCCAAAAACATACTACAAGGGAAACATGCAAAATTTATATTCTAACGAAGCATGCAACAGCAGAGTTTCTACTTTGTTCTAAAAACTCTTACATTTATTTACGTATTCACTGAGAGAGCTTATGTAATTGTGTATGTGAGAGTGTACGTGGATGTCAGAAAACAGCTATGGGAGGTAGTCCTCTCCTTCCATTATGTGGTTCCAGAAATCACACTCAGGTCCTCAGGACTGGTGGGAAATAACTTTACCTGCGGAGACACCTAGCCAGCACCTAGAACACTTTGTAAGAGTGTGACCTGAGGGTTTATGTGAGAAATGTGAAGGCAGTAAGGCTGTAGAAAGAAGACATGACTGGATGCAGCTCACGAAGCAGTGCCATTCAAGGCTGCTACAGCTTCACTAGCTTGCAAAGGTGAATGTATATATTCATTATCGCATGATATGAAAATATGTATTATCATTATCATATATACACACATATTAGTATACACATATACATTCTTAAAAAGAAATTATTTAGATGTAGTCTATGTGCAAAGCACTAGACTAAGCGATATCTTGATCTTTGCCATTCGAATCTACAAGTCCTTAAACGTACTTGTGGTGACAGAGACTGAGTAGGAGGGGGACACCAACTCTGAGGCACTCCTAAGTTTCAAACCCATTCTTCTTTTTAAAAAACCATATTGTCTATAAGGGTAAGGCTACAAAAACAGAGTTTTGTTTCCTTTCCCTCTTTTATACAAAATGCTTATGAGAAGATTAACATCTCCTTCTCAGAAACACAAAACTTTAATTTTGAAACAAAAAATTGAAACAAAATTTTGAAGCATAAAATGATCGGAGCAATTGAAAGGCACACCTAACTTTAAGCACACTCTCTCAGTCAGCTGGTTTCTGCTCAGACCTTCTCACACTCAAGCTATTTCCACACTACCCACGAAACCTCACCTGCTGAGAAACAACGGTCTGCAGCTTCTGAACTTCCAGTTGTAATGCTTTATTCTGGTCATTCAGAATCTGGAAGAAAGAAGACCAATTTACTATTTTTTAAGAAGGAAAAAGGTAATAATGCAATCATTTGAATCGAATTTTGAACAAGCAAACCCACACTGTTGCTTCAGTGCTCATAAGAGACTAAAGGGTTCCATACAGACATAGAAATTCAGAGCTCAACGGACAGGGATTAACGCTGCAGCAACAGTGAAGACAGCAAAAATATTCACAAGAGGAAAATACTCATTTAAAAAATGCCAAGGAATGCTTGGGGCAAAATCAATCTCAAACATTTAATTTAAGATCAGATAAATTACATTTAGGCAAAAAGTCTAGTAAAAACTCACCATTCACATAAGACACCAAATAAACTAGGGAAATAATATTTCCAAATGACTATATTTTTAAAAATCGCACATTGAGCATCATCGTAATTAAACTTACAGGAAGTTGTTCTGGGAAGGCGGAGCTCACATACTTACATACCTTAAATTCTTCCATTTTGCTGGCGACCTCGCACTGCAGCTGCTCTTCAAGCAGTCTTATTTTATCATCCTTTACTTGAATACTATGAGAAGAGGAGCAGTTACAACTAGTGCAGACAGTCAAGGTGTTCAGGCCTATATGCACAAGCCTCAGCTGGAAGCATCACTGCACATGAACACACATGCACAAGTGTCTCTGCACAGAATACACTACTCACCTCTTCTGCATCTTCTCCACCTCGTGTGCTGTAGCAGCCTGTATTCAGAATAAATAAGACTCTTAGCATCTTAGGAAACCATCTAAACTACTCACCTATTCATATAAAAACTTGCATTTCCAGACATCTGGATTAAAGCTGTAACAAACTATGGCATTCTGTGTTTTACTGTCCATTCATTATTTTTAACTTCTCAGAGGGCTGGGCGGTGGTGGCACACACCTTTAATCCCAGCACTTCAGAGGCCGAGGCAGGTGGATTTCTGAGTTCAAGGCCAGCCTGGTCTACAGAGTGAGTTCCAGGACAGCCAGGGCTACACAGAGAAACCCCGTCTCGAAAAACAAACAAACAAACAAACAAACAAACAAACAAAAACTTCTCAGAGGCCAATTTTCTCTAATAAAAGTTTTCCCTTTACACATTAAATGGAAAAATCCAAAACAAGTAACACATTGGGACTGTTTTAACAATCTCTTCTATCTTAGAAATAATTCAGTCATTGTACCATACATTAATTCCAATATGAATCAGTGATATCTAAGTGGTCTGTGCACACGCTCTCAATAACATCCCACAGCCAAACATAAGTAAACCAGTATAGACAGCATTTATACACAGAAAACTGGGGTTCACAGACTCAAAAAAAAAAAAAAAAAAAAAGGCAAGGCACTCAAACTTCTTCAGAGATAAATAAGGAAAAGTGACTTATTTACCTGCTCATTAGCCAGGGCCTGTAATTTCTGCACTTCAGCTTTTAATAAGAAATTCATATTCTGTACATCCTAGAGCAAGAAAAAAAATACACAGGATTAAAAATATTTCATAAAATTCAAATTGAACTTGTGGCAAGGTATCTATTCTACTTAAGAGTTAAGTAAAGGCCGGGCAGTGGTGGCGCACCCCTTTAGTCCCAGCACTTGGGAGGCAGAGACAGGCGGATTTCTGAGTTTGAGGCCAGCCTGGTCTACGAGTGAGTGCCAGGACAGCCAGAGCTACACAGAGAAACCCTGTCTCAAAAACCAAAAAAAAAAAAAAAAAAAAAAAGTTAAGTAAAGGTCTCAAATTATAAATTTCCTAAGTCAAAAAAAAATCAATTTCCATTATTTGGCAAACTTCTGAAATTGATACAGAATACATTATGAGAGTAGAACCCTTCTGGGTTTTCCCTTTAAAGCTGAAGAAGTATCCTTCTTTACAGTTCAGAAAAGAAAAAGCACTTTCCAGGAGTTCTAGAGCGTTTTTCATCCTTCATACAAATACATACTGATTAATCTTTAGGGCAATTCAACTTGGAGTCCTATAAAATACTACAGCAAGCTGTAGGAGCCACCTTACCTTAAGCTCCTCCTCCTTGCTTGCTAAGTGATCCTGTTCACTTGCTAATGAATCTTCAGTCTGCTTTAGCTGTTTGTCCTTTTCTGCAATCCTTCAAGAAAATACATTTGTGCTTTTAATAAGCATTTACAAACAACAAGATTTAAAAGTCTTATATGAAAAGGATCATCTTAACTAAGTAAGTTTCTTGTATAACTGTACTTTCTCTTACTAGAGACACTATTTCATTTACTAGTAACTGTCATAAAGCATGATTGAGAGAGAGAGAGAGAGAGAGAGAGAGAGAGAGAGGGAGGGGGGGAGGGAGGGAGGGAGGGATATCAGTCCAGCATGTGAGACCAGGGGATAGTATTTAGGTCAATCAGGCTTGACAATGAGCCTTTCTTTCCTACTAAAGCAGCATTTCTCCAGCCCCAAACATCCCCTATTTTATGGCAGAACGGTGGCTCATACCTGTGCTCGGAAGGCAAAGGTAGAAAGATTGCCACAAATTCAAGGCCAGTCTAGACTACAGGATGAGGTCTCAAATTATAAATATACAGATGGATAGACAGATAGACAGACAGACAGATCCATTATTTAAATCTTAAGTCAAAGAAGTTAATTTACATTGAAAAGTCTGGTATCAAAACCAGATTATAGGTCATCTGCACACAACTCACCCGTAGCTGTACTGTTATGTAACTATGCAAATTTACTTTGAGTATAGGACCTAGTGTCACAGGGCTAGACACAAAAGAGCCACAAGTACAAAGCAGACTCAAGCACTAATTTCCTTCCACTACTCTGAAAACACAATTGCCTCTTCTATATAATTACCAATATCCCAAATGAAGCAAGGTAAGGCAGCTCTATTATAATAACAACAAAAACAAAGTGTAATGTCTGGGGACTAAACAGGAACAGGTTAGAAGAAAAGATCAAAATAGAATTTAGGATAATTTTCCAAACAGGTAAGAGTATGAAATTAATTGCGTATTGTATCAAACAGGTATCTGTTAGTAGTTATCAATTATAAGAGAAGTGTGGAATGGCAAGCTTACACTTTATGTAATTCTTCTGCTAGAACTGAAGCGGAGGTCTGGGAAAGAAAAACATTATCAACATAAGAGCACTTGAGAAAAAGCTTAAAAGCTGTACAATCATCACAACAGAGCTTTTAAAAAGAGAGAGAAATTAACATTTAAGGTTGTTAAAGACATGTCTGGTCTATAGTGAGTAGCTATCATTCTGAAAGCATGTCTGATCACCAACAGCCACTATTAAGGAATTACACATCACATCACAGAATAATGACAAGCAACAAGTACATAAGGGGCAGAGCCTACCACAAAGGCCATCTCTACCCCTGTGCATCTCTTCCTCAGCAAAATTATCTGACAGGATCCCCTCCATGATCAGACAATGCAGAGAGTGCCAGTGCTGTCTTTCCACTATTAAGGTTCTCAGCACGCTCAGGCATTCTGACAGGCTGGAACACTACCTCTCAGCTGACAAGGATCCCAATCCAAGTGGGGCTGGTAACTCACAAACATACAGCTCCATTTTGCTGAATTAGATGGTTCTCCCCCAGCTAATTTTACAGTATCATCTCTACAAAAAAAGCAATTAGGAAAAACCATTTATGTGCACAAAGCTTTGGGAGTTTGAACTCTAAAATTCACTTTTAATGTTAAAACCATGTTTTATATAAGAGCCAAATTCTTTTTCTTTTTTAGAGATTTTTTTAAATTTGGACTAGGTGTAAGCATTGGGGGGCATGAGTGCAGTGACAGCGGAGGCCATTAGATTTCCTGGAGTTGGTGTTACAGGCAGTTGTCAATCACCTGGCACAGGGGCTGGGAACTAAGCTCGGATCCTCTGGACAGCAGCAGGCACACTTAACTGCTGAGCCATCTCTGCAGTCCAAGAGTCAAATTTCCAGTACTTGTTGCTACAAGTAATTTTTATAACTTTAACATTCAACTGAAATTGAAATTTATAGTATATGTATTTCTGGAAACTTTCACATTTTTCTGATAATGTTCCGTCGTTTATATTCCAAAGCCTATCAATCTATCAAAGAAAGGGGCAATGGTATCAACGTTTGCTATTAACTAAACTGAATTATACATTTCAAACTGAGTCTTCTGCAAATATAACCTGCGAGCTATATTTAACACAGCTCTCTGCTGCGCATGTGTGAGATTCCTGAGCAAAGTCAGTGTTCTGTGACAGTGCATCCATCACTACACCAGTCCCAGTCTACACATTTCACGGGCTAGCCCTTTTGTTTTGTGACATAGGTCAGAGCGTTTTTCCCAGGAGTGAATGTTCTCACCTACCCCTTCTAATTACACAGGTTTGGGGTTCTTGGTGCTGCCCAAGTATTATAAATAATATTTAGTGTTTCAAACTTTGGACCACTACAAACTGATTCATTGACTAGTCTCCCAGCTACTGAAGTTTGGCACTACAAATGCGTTCAGATAACTGTTCCAACAGGTGGAAAGCTACAATTAATGGTAACCAATCAAAAAGCACCATTACCTGAGCTGCTATCTGGGAATGGAATTGTTGAATCTGAGCTTTCAAAGCCTCATTTTGTTCCAAAATATCCTTTCATCAACAAGAAAGAAAAAGAGGAGAAAAGTTTCATTAATAAATATCCAAGTATACATGAACACACAGTTTACATATTCTTGATATCTTTAAATTACCTTTATTTAAAGCAGTTAAATTTTGAGTTAATTTTATTCTGAGTTAATTTACAAGGCAGACATCAAGGCTGTTTTACTGTCCCTGATCCTATCATAAGAAGTCCTAAGGAAGTGGGTGAGCTCATCTTTAACACACACTCAAAGATTAAATGTCAATTATTTACCACCATTAAGAATTAGAACATGCCGGGTGGTGGTGGCGCACGCCTTTAAGCCCAGCACTTGGGAGGCAGAGGCAGGTGCACTGACTACTCTTCCACAGGTCCTGAGTTCAATTCCCAGCAACCACATGGTGGCTGATTACCATCTGTAATGGGATCTGATGCCCTCTTCTGGTGTGTCTGAAGACAGCTACTGTGCACTCATATAAATAAAATAAATAAATCATAAAAAATAAAATTATGACATACAACACTTATCCTAATTTCTTTTTCTTAATGATTTAAACACTGAAACAGTTTATTTGAACTTAATGAATTTACAGACATAGGTTTTGAATTTTAATTTAGTTGTAATTTTTGAATTAAATTATAATTAGACCACTTCCCCTCAACCTCTCCAATGGCTCATATCCCTCTCTCTCAAATTCATGACTTTTAATTATTATTGTAGCACATTAAACACATAAATATAATCCCTTATTCTTAAAGAAAGAAAAATAAATACCTGCACTTGGATTTGCAGAGATTCTTCTTTGCTTACTCTCTTTTGCTCTGATTCCATTAACTGCATTAGTCTCTGCTCCAACTGCTGTTTTGACACCAAGGTGTCTGTGAGCTTACTATGTAGACTCTGGACTTCGTTTTCTTTAGCCACAAATTTACTTTGTAAGTCTGTAGTAAACAAAAATACTACATCTTACAAAGTGGCTCTTCCTCCACCCGACCCATCCTCAGTGTCCTCACCTTCTCTGGACACTTGCCCAGACCCACTGTCCCCTCTGCAGTCTCAGCGATTGTCCTTTCTGGACCACACCCACCATCTGTCTAACTCCTCTTGCTGTAGAGGAAATTCTTCTGGGTCAGAGTCTCTGTTGTCTGTCTGTATCCAGAGCTGTGCCCAGGACTTGGCACAATACTGCATAATCAATGAGCATTAACTACATGGGATATAAAGGTTTTTAAGTGGTCCTATGATTTCTTGAAAGCCCTCTTTATTTCCCTAAAGATACTTTAATAATTATGTTAACAAATTCCATGAAAATTCTTTGAACTCTGTTACACAGACAGATGCCAAGGAAATCTATTATCTAAAAGATGTCATTTAAAATATCATCTAAATAATTTGAAATGAAGGATAATTTTTTTTGTTTCTTCCTTCCACCCCCACAAAAAAAAGTAAATCAGGAAAAATAAATAAATAAATATATATATACTCAAAATCACAACAAATGAAGACAACGTGAATTTAAAGACAACCACTAATTTGGTAGAAAAGAGGAAGGGAAACCTAAATCAAAAAGGCTAATGACAGAAGATCGCTGGCAGCATGAGAATCATCACCCTGTCCCATACCATAAATAAGTCAGAGATGAGAGGAAACCCATTACCACAGACAGAAATATGTAGCTGATCATAATATGTCCTTACCTTAAGAAAGGTAAGTTGTCAAATTTATAAGACAATACAACTCAGAAAGAATTACTGAAAATCAAATATGTAATAATGGGCATATCTGGGATTAGAACTCACAGAAGCGAAGAATCTATTAGCAACAGTTAAAATTAAAACATTAAGTTCATGATGTCAAAATTCTTTAGATGAAATCATTGCTGACTTATAGCTCAATCTCCAGACAAACCAATCTTGTATGGTAAAAACATTTTCAGATACTTAAGGCCTCCGCAAATATACTTCTAGGCATATTCAGATGCAGCTAGCAAAAAAGAACAAAGCTTTTTCCAATGTAGGAGAGAACGTGACAGTGACAAAGAGCAGACAGAGGGCAGAGAGGAAGAGAGTCTTAGGACCTAGAAAGTAACAAGCATTAGAGCACGAAGACTACACCTTCAAGAGGGACCATGAGCAAAGTCTAGCACAAATCCCTGCCTCCTGCATTTAAGATGATGAGGGGGAGTGAATTAAGAAATGTTGAACATAGGGCAAAGTTTTTTAAATAAAACAGCATCAAGTAATGGAAAATCTAGTAGTACTAAGCTTTAGGAACTAAACAGTACAAATGAACAGATCAGTTTAATATGTATCCTGGTCATGAGAACAGAAAATGAAAACGGATGGAATAGAAGTGCATCAACATTTCAGAACACAGATACAGTGGGGAAACTATACTAAGTCAGTTTCCACCAAAAGGAAGCAATCCTTTACTGCTGTTTTACTCACTATAGCCACGTGGATCTCTGTGAGTTCAAGGCCCACTCGTCTACATAGTGAGACACGGGGCTACACAGAGAAACTCTGCCAAAACCAATCCAAAACAAAACAACCTCACTTCTTTAAGTACTAGTATTAAATTTGTTTAGAAATATAAAGTAAAATCCCAAGGTCTAAAAAGGCACGATCATTTAGAGCAGAGTATGAGGTAACCCACTAAGAGTAAAGGTAAAAGAGCACGGAGGGTGGAGAGATGGCTCAGCAGTTAGAGCACTGGAATACTCGGCTTTGGTTCCCAGTACGCACACGAAAGCTCACAACCATCTGTAACTCCATGCCACAACCATCTGTAACTCCATGCCACAACCATCTGTAACTCCATGCCACAACCATCTGTAACTCCATGCCACAACCATCTGTAACTCCATGCCCAGGGGATTCCATACCTTCTTCTGACCTCTTGGGACAGCAGGCACACATGTACATGATGGGCATACACAGATGCATACAAAATACTCACATACATAAGATGAAATAAATAAACCTAAAACAACAGTTAGATAAAAGAGTGCCGTTTTACTCTCTATAGCCATTTGGTTTATACTGATAGCCTTCTAGCAAGATAAGATTCCTGTGTTTCACTCATAACATATAAAACACTACATATTTAAATAAGTTAAAGTATCTTAACATAAATACCATCTTTATATAAAGGTAGAAGTCTTAAAGTCCTGTGGTTTTTTGGGTGTATTCATTTTGGTGTTGACCAAAAGAAATAATCAGAGGAAACTAAAGAGTTAACAAGTCAAAACTGTTATTTATCCTATGTGGAGCCATATTCAAGTTTAGAAAGACGTTATGGCTAGTATTTATGTCAACTTGACACAAGGTTGAGTCACCTAAGAAAAAGAAATCTTTATCAAGCAACTGTTTCCAGATGCTTGGCCTGCACTGACATGCTGGGGGCATTTTCTTGACTGAGGTTTTCCGTGCGAGGGCCAAGGCAGTGCTGTAAGAAAGCAGACTGAGCAGGGCATGGAAGGAAAGCTAGTAAGCAGCATCCTCCACGGTCTCCACTTCAGTTCCTGACTCCAGATTCCTCCCTGGAGTTCCTGCCCTGACTTCTCATCACAATGGACTACAAGCTCTAAGATTAAATAAATCATTTCCTGGCCAGGTTGACTTTGTCATCCTGTTTGTCACATCTGAGACAGAAGGGAACAGCAGAGATGAAAACAGTATAATGAACGCCCGGTCAAACTACAGAAAAATGAGCAGACAGAGTTCATGTTTATAAAGGTAGAAGGAAGCAGTGAATGGCTCTTCATAAGGCTACAAGTACCAACAAGACCAAAGGCAAACCACAGGAAACAGGGTCACAGCCCTGCTCTTACCAGCCCGTTAGATGCCAATTCTACAGTACTACTGCAGACAAAGCCACAAGTGTGCTTATATTACAACACCTAACAAATGTTTTAGAAATAAGATAATCTGAAAGGACAAAAATCTACTTTCATTTGTCTGTGCTAAATGCCAAATAATCTTTCTCTATCAACAGCAGATAGGGAAGTGTCTCAGTCTACACAAATGCCTCTTCTTTACCTTGCTGTGCAGCCTCATGCTCTGCTGTCCTCTTCCTGATATAGCTTTGAACTTCTTCCCACCGCCTCTCAGCTTCTTGTAGTTGAACCTTGATATTTAAAATGAGAGAAAGGAAAAAAACGAAAATCAACCCCAGCAAGATTCAACTGTAAAAGAGAGCCATTTCTTTGTCAGCCACATCCATCATTTTCTCCAACGCCTTGGGAACACAGGTCTATGGATTGTTAGATCACTACAGACAGCCACCCCTACATACTTATCTGACCCACTGAGCTAGAAGCTATTTTTCATCAACCATTCCTAAGTCCCTAAGCTATTAAGAGACAAGACAGTATCTATTGCTAAATCTCAGTCAGTACCTAAAATTTTACATATTCTGAAATATACATATTGCAAAACACTAATTAAGATTATTAATTCTGATGCCACTTATCACATTCCTTTATCCGTGTCAGCAATAAAGCCCCCAAAAGGCCCAGTGTTAAAGGAACGACACTGATATCACTTTCACAAAGTATTGAACAAAACTTGCAAAAGAAAAGATAAAACAAGTTATACATTTTCTATAGGCAATTATAAAACTGTCTGGAACTGGCCTCAAGGTATACTATACATCAGTGTGGATGGGAGCTTAACAGTAAGGTTGCATATAACCTCTATAAATTGAACTATATATTTTTAGAAAAATCTTCCTCAGAAAAAGGAGGAACAGGTAGCTATCAACCCTTAAACATCTAAGTTCCTGAGTTCATGTAACATGAGAGAGTGACTCTGCCCCTCCTCAGGCAGTCTGAGAACTCTACACATCTCCTAACAGTATGAGCAGCTCATCACACTTGTCATTCTAGATCTGAAAACATCATGGTTTTATACATCAAGGGCTCAAGTGAAAGCCACTGGAGTGGACTTAGGGGAAGCGTAGTGCCAATGCTGAGAAGGCTCTATTTGACTTGATTCAGTTATAGATGATAAAAGTAATGCTAAAGGTCCCTTTCTAAAATTGTTTTTACGTTACACATGTAGGCATGTATAACACACACACACACACACACACACAATAATTCAACCCTTACTTGTCAATCACATGGCTTCATTTTTCTTATCTCAGTTTGTAGCTTCAAACCTAGCCCTACAATCAACGTTTATCAAGACATAACTTTGAAAAGGCAGAGCCCTTAGAATGTGGGTGTAATTCAACTTCACACTAGACTTCTCAAACCTATATACACACTATGTCATGGAAGTGGGCAATTGTAATATTTACAAAATGGTACAAAGAGGCAGGGAGAGGTCACCTTCAACTGGGTAGCAGCTTGCTCCGCATTCTTCTTCTGCACTCCCTCTTGCTGCAGCTTTCCTGTCTTCTCGTTCAGCTCACTCACAAGCCTCCCACAATCTTGGCGCAGTTTATTTAGCTCTGCCGACTGCCTGCAAACAGTGACTGGATTAGGGGTTTTGCATTGTTACACACATAAAGAACTCACAAGCACAACATATCCTGTGTTAATTATGCTGAACTAGTAACCTCACTTACAGGCAAATGTAAAGGAGTATGACTAAGTAGTAATATTGTTCCCGAGTATAATCTTAAATAATTCTAATGATGGCAAGCTCTAAAAACCACTATAGGGCTGAAAGGTTGCCTAAGAGAGTGAGAGCTATGCAACCTCAAAAACCTGAGTGCCACCCCAAATTCCATGGTGGCAGAGAGACCCAACTCCCAGAGCTGTTGTGTCCTCCATATACACTCCACAGAACAAAACAGGAAACACATACTGTGGCATATACACGATAATAATCAAATAAATAATTTTACATTTGAAAATCACTGTAAAATATCAAGAAAAAATGGATAACCAAATATTCAGCAGCATGAACAGAAAGATGTTGCTGCCATTAAACTGATCTAAACCTTCCTAATATGGACACTAGAAAGTTCAGCAGTTAAGAGCATTTGTTGCTTTTGTAAAAGGCCCATGTTCAGTCCTACTACCCACATGTGACTCATAACCATTCTTAATTCTAGTTCTAAAGAATGTGACACCTTGGGCTGGTGAGATGGCTCAGCGGTTAAGAGCACTGACTGCTCTTCTAGAGGTCATGAGTTCAAATCCCAGCAACCACATGGTGGCTCACAATCATCTGCAATGAGATCTGATGCCCTCATATGGGTGTCTGAAGACAGCTACAGTGTATTCACATATAATAAATAAATGAATAATCTTAAAAAAAAAAAAGGAGGGGGTGAAAAAAAAAAAGAATGTGACACCTTCTCTGGCCTCCCATAGGCCCCAGGAATATATATGGTACACAGACATACAGGCAAAATACTCAAGACACATAAAATAAATCTTTACAAAAAAAAACACCACCCTCCTAATACCAATACCATTGTAACTGGACTTGGTCTGTTGTCCAGAGAAAGAGAGCATTTTCAACTCTAACGAGGAAGCTTTTACCTCATTATTGCAAATAATAACCAGTGTGTACTTTGTGCAAGATTCCTAGTGTCTCTAAGTCCCCCATGAACTACCTGGGCTGCACTTTGCAGCCCCTGGATTGCAAACTCTATAGTGGTAAGGAGGATCAAGACCACACTTTTTAAAATCAGCATGGCAGGTGCTACTGAGAATAATGAAATCGGCCGGGCGGTGGTGGCGCACGCCTTTAATCCCAGCACTTGGGAGGCAGAGGCAGGTGGATTTCTGAGTTCAAGGCCAGCCTGGTCTACAGAGTGAGTTCCAGGACAGCCAGGGCTATACAGATAAACCCTGTCTCGAAAAACCTAAAAAAAAAAAAAAAAAAGAGAATAATGAAATCTAAGGAGTGCTAGGCTGGAGGAGGGCAGCTTCAGTGTGTGTGTGCTACTTCACCGGCAACACTGATGCTCCCGGGGCTTGGCAGTCTACACTACACACAGAACTTAGAAGAGCTAGGTCTTCACACAAAGAAAAAAAACAGTTGTTCCTGAAAAGTAGCTAAGGGTTAGAAGCAACTGGAGGAAGCAGAAGCCAAGCCAACCCCTCCTCCTCATGACAGAGGCAGCCTGTCATTTAGTCGAGAATGAGGCATCTGGAGACATACTTGCTTTCCAACTGGTTTGTAGTGTTGCTGACAGCATCTCTCAGGATACCATTTTCCTGCTTCAAATGAGCTATCTCTGCTTCCATTTGTTCCCGAACTTGCTGAAACTATTAGGAAACAAAGATCAGCAAAGCTACCTTTAAGAGGAATTGCACTATAATAAGAGAGTAAGAAATATTAAAAAAATGAAATACAAACCTTCTTTTTCAGGTCAATATGAAGAGCCTTAAAGAACTGTTTAGTGATAAATGTGATGTACAAACTGTCCAGCTCAGAACCTAACAAGATCATCAATTAAAGTACACCTGAGGTAAGATGCCAAACATGCATCATGTTTCAGAACTAAGATATGATTTGATACTTATTATACAGATGTCCTGTTCTGACCCCAGAATATGTGATTATATTAACAATATTTTTAAAGTTTTAAGTTGGATGAGGTGGCACATGCCTTTAATCCCAGCACATGGGAGGCAGAAACAGGTAGAACTGTGAGTTTTAAGGCTAGCCTGCTCTACATAGCAAGTTACAGACCACCCAGGACAACAAATGGAGACCCCATCCTTCCCAAAAGTTTTGGCTATCCAAAGTTTAAACACTATAAATATGTACAAACATTTACAAAGTTATAAATTAAGCATAACTAACAGACACCATCAAAATCTACCTGAAAAAGTCACACCACTGGATTTTTTTTACTGTGCTTCATAACATAAATGACATAAAATGTACCCACTATCTTCTTTACTCACATCTGTCTGTTGTGTGCTACGTGTGCTATGTGAGCACGCATATATGTGTGCGTGTGTTCAGAGGAAACATTATGGAATTAGTTCTCTCTCTACCACCTGAGTCCCAGGAATTGAACTCAAGTCGTCAGGCTTGGCAGCAAGCTCACCGAGCCATACAGCTGGTGCCACCATTTGCATGTGTACAAAGTTCAATGGTATTAACCATATCCATTCTGCTATATGGCCATCATTACCATTCATATACATGACTCCTAAGTAACTAGTATCCACCCCCTGACCACTACAATCACTACTGTAACATTTCTTTGACTTCTAATTGTTTAATTTCAGAATTATAAAATCAGACAATAATGAATACTAATTCTTACAGTCATATAAAGACTTGTCTTCCTTTATTACATAAATTATTCCATTAAGAGAAATGAATACCTGCTGATATCTTGTTTACAATTCAGCAAACAAAAAGAAAGTATGCATTTCTAGTTTTCAGAGGATTTTTATAAACTCCATAGATAGGTGTATACATCCTGACCCTACAAGACATCAAGCAGAAGCAGAGTGAGTGAATCAATTAACCTTTCACCTTCAACCTGAAAGGCTGCTCTAACATCTCTCCACTGGCTAAGAGTACTTGCTGCTCTGATAGAGGACCCAAGTTAGTCCCCAGCACTAAATGGCAATTCTCAACCATTTGCAATTGCAGAGGTTCCACAGACTCCTCTAACCTCTGAGGGCTCTAAGCATGCACATGGCACATATACATAAATGCAGGCAAAGACTCAGACACCTGCCGAGCGGTGGTGGCACATGCCTTTAATCCCAGCACTTGGGAGGCAGAGGAAGGCGGATTTCTGAGTTTGAGGCCAGCCTGGTCTACAGAGTGAGTTCCAGGACAGCCAGGGCTACACAGAGAAACCTTGTCTCGGAAAACCAAAAAAAAAAAAAAAAAAAAAAAAAGACTCAGACACTTAATATAAATGCTTTTTAAAATATAAAAAAAGAACATCCTAAAAAAACTGAAGTCAGTTGAAGATCCGTTCTTGAATGTCTCAAATTGCTTAGGAACAAGAGAACAGAAGAAAACAAACACTAGAAACAGTGGACAGTAAGAACCTAACAGTGCCACTCATTTCTGTTATTGGTGATATTTCTGTGAGAAACACTGAACTTTGTTAGCTGTGAAGAATAATTTATTTCAAAAAATCTGGAACTAATCACAAGTTAGAATATAAACAATATAATAGTAAAAACTGTAATTATTCTATATATAATTCTATATATAACTAAGCTAAGAACTGAATGCAAGAATAACTATATGATCAGGGTTACTTCTGGAGAGTTCTTGGTTCAGCCGCTTGATCATTAAGACTTGACATTAACAATGTTAAATCTCAGATCTGTACTTTCCTTTAGCACTAAAGTATAAGCAAGCAAACGAAAGTAACAATTTAGAAGAATTCCATTATGGGAAATATTAAAATCTCAACTGACAAATCCAAGCTTTGTTCATCAAGGGACCAAAGAAAGAAAAAGGGGAAGAGGGGAGCAAAAATTCACTGGTCCAGACTTAACTAAAATCTTTAAAATGAATGATCCACAGAAAAGATCTTGAGAACCAGATCTCTGAAACACACAGAGACTGGAGAAAAGTGTAGAGATGCCACTAGTGACGAGTGTGGAGAGTCACCCGTCTCCACTCAAACGCCAGGCCCCATGTAGCTTCTGTGGATTACTCCACCTCATCTTCTCATTACCAGTATCTAGGTGTGTCTGGCTGTTCTGACTTGAGTTCCTGCAAACGTTACCCCTTATTCCCCTCTCCACACTTGCTGCCGCAGTGAGCATCAAAAATTAAAATGAATCACTCTGTTGGCTTCCCTAAATTCATTCAAAGGCTGACCAGTCTTCAGGCATCCAAGATGCTCTAATGGGTCCATACTTATTTCTATCTCTCTTAACTACAACCTTGGCTATCAATTCTTACAACTACATTCTAAAATCACCAGTGACCCCACTATCTACAGAGATGGGAAAAGAACGACACCAAGTAATAACTCTTACACCTAGCCCTCTGCACCTTCAGCTTGACTTGACAATGCTGACTCCACAGCTCCAACACAGCCTGAGCACCGTGTCTAACAACTCTTCTGTCTAGCAGCAGTGCGTTTCCATCTTCCCCAACTCCACCACTTCAATGTACACGATGCTCACCAACACTGGCCTGGTGTACTGCCCTATTAGCTTCCAGCTTCCTATCTTATCCCCACACAGAATATGTATGTACTTCAGAATGAAGAGAAGTGAGGTTAGCTAGCCACTATATGTCAATGGCTCAACCCAGGCAAAGCACTTAAAAGTTAAACAAATGCACATGATTCATTTTACTTTCCAAGACTCCAAACATACCTTCATCTGCATCTGTTGAGTCTCTTGGTAACTGACGTGCATTTTGTTTTGAAATATATTATGTTCCTTTTCTAGTGCTCCAATGCGATCTTTCATCCTTGCTATAACTACACTGCTTCTTTCTTTCTCTGTCATCATTTCCTAGAATAGAAGAAAAGAAGTATATGAAGAGCTCGTTATGACATTACCAAACTAAGACAATGTTCTAACAGTAACATATCATGAAGGTTCCATCAGGGCTTATGTACAAAGCAAAGTCAAAGGTTAAAAACAAACAAACCAGCCGGGTGGTGGTGGCGCACACCTTTACTCCCAGCACTCGGGAGGCAGAGGCAGGCAGATTTCTGAGTTCGAGGCCAGCCTGGTCTACAGAGTGAGTTCCAGGACAGCCAGGGATACACAGAGAAACCCAGTCTCAAAAGACTGGAAGAAAAAAAAAAAAAAAAAAAAGAGTCCTCAGCAGTGTGCTTACTCTCCACACAAAGTGTATTTATAGACACTTACCAGATTATTCCTATCTAAAATTCACTTTTGATTAAATCACTATAAAGGCTGTAGGCCTAAAATAAAATAACCTACATGCTAATGTGATTATGAGAATTTTTTTTTTTTACCCGAGACAGGGTTTCTCTGTATAGTTCTGGTTGTCCTGGAACTCACTCTGTAGACCAGGCTGTCCTCAAACTCAGAAATCCACCTGCCTCTGCCTCCCAAGTGCTGGGATTAAAGGCATGCGCCACCACCACCCGGCAAGAAAAAATATTTTAAGGCAGAACAGTGATCAATTCTTACTCTCCTTTAGAGTTTAGTAAAAAGACTGGGTGAAGTGTTAGAATAGGAACCAAAGACAGGCCTCTCTTTTAGAGGAAGAGACACAGGATGTTTATAGCAGAAAATACATTTAAAAATGGCTAAGTTAGAAAGCAAAGCTTTGCCAGGTGGTGGTGGTGCATGCCTTTAATCCAGCACTTGGGAGGCAGAGGCAGGTGGATTTCTGAGTTCATGGCCAGCCTAGTCTACAGAGTGAGTTCCAGGACAGCCAGGGCTACACAGAGAAACCTTGTCTTGAAACCCCCCCCCCCAAAAAAAGCTTTATTATCTTTCTAATTCAAATATTAAAAGATATAAACTCCTAGAACAAATATCCAAGCAAATGAAAGCAAGCAATTTTGGTTATCGGAAAGTATGAATACATCCCTGCTTTAAGAAACTGTGACAAGCTCTTAGCGACGGGGAGATCTCTAAGGTCTGCCCTGCACAGAACAGCAGACAATGTGGACTTCAACCTTTCCCCAAGCTTCTGAATAAAGTGTTTCAACAACAACAACAAAAAAACTGTGACAAAACTGAGGCTTTTATGTAATTTATGAAGTTATTATATACTTATGTTTCATGTTTTAGATTTAGATTTGAAAGCTGTTATACTGACATACAATACACTTAACACTTTATTTTTAAAGAATTACACTAGATGTATTTTTACAAAAGTGCCATACTAAAGCCAGTTATGTTGGCAATGATCTCTAATCCCAGCATTTGGAGGTGCGATGAGGGGAGCCGGAGTATGAAGAGGTCATTCTCAGCTATACAGCCTGCTTTAGACCAGCCTGGGAGATCTACAACTGTCCCAAAACTACGAGGAAAACAGCACTGACTTAATATTTAACTCCAATATGGTTTAAAAAAAAAATGAGTCAGACAGTGGTGGCGCACCCCTTTAATCCCAGCACATGAGAGGCAGAGGCAGGCAGATTTCTGAGTTCGAGGCCAGCCTGGTCTACAGAGTGAGTTCCAGGACAGCCAGGGGCTACACAGAGAAACCCTGTCTCGAAAAACCTAAATAAATAAATAAGTAAATAAATAAATAAATTTTATTTTGAAGATAAGTCAGTCAGATTTATTTTTTATGCAGCCATTTAACTTAGTTACTAAGTATACACACCCCAGGGTACAAGACGGTGATGCCTGAGTTGAAGCAGGAAAGAGCCATTAAAGGATATGCTCACAACAAAACATCAAAAGTAACAACCCATTTTTTTTAAACTTCAAAAAACAGTATTAAATGATATTCACATCAAAATATATTAAAGTTAATTATAAGGAAGCAGGCTTATAGCATTTTTGTGCTTGCACTGACTTTTCTTATGAGTCAAGCTCACAAAAGATGTACACTGAGAGCCACTCATCCCTGTGGGGTGGTGATGAGAGTGCACACATGCTTGTCTACACTACTCTATCTAATGAAGGAAACACTCTCTCCAGAGGGCTACTTCTGTTCTCTCAGTCGACACAGATATTTTTTAAAAAGTTTTGTTTGGAGTTAGATTTTTACCACTCAGACTAAAACATCTAAGGTTTTAAAGAAGAATTTAAAAGTACAAATCTTTATCACAAGGATTTCCATACGTAAGTAATAAAAGCGTCATGTGAATCACATAATTGGATATTACGCTTCTCAGAAGAACAGATCCACGTCACATCCATTTAAACTCTTGTGTTCTGAGCACAATGGTTTTGCTATTCTGGTTAGACTAATAAACATTTTTATTTTATTTATTATATCATTAATGACTACAAGTCTTCCATATGAAAATCCTCAAAGAAAATTGTTTTTATTCTATATAAATTAAGGTACATGGTGCTTCTGAAGCCTCTCACTGCTTCTGACTCGGAAAGCACATCCCTGAACCTAAGAATGTCTTCACCTGAGTCAACTGCTTACAGCGCTCCTTTGTGGCAGCAGCATCTTCCTTCACGGCAGAGAGCAGCCTCTCCTTCTCCTGAAGCTGATGCAGAAGACCACTCAGTTCTCCTTTATTGGACTGTAATTGAGAAATCAGGACGGAATGAGTAAGTTAAAATGACTCAATGAAACTGTGAGTGTGAAATAGCTACTATAAAGGGCCTGTGGATCAATGGAAGTACCACATCTAAAATAAAATGACTGCCACACACTAGTCAAATAAAACCAAATCAGTCACTTCGACAGTAAATATTCTACAATTAGTAGGATACAAAACAGCATACTTTAACAAAGAAGTACAGAGCTAACACTTATAAGCCGAAAAGTCAAAACAAGTAATTTCCCTCCTTACTTTTCCGAAAGAGTAAGAGACTATGAAATCACGTGACCTTTCAACCAAGAAGGAGCCATGTGTAATAATCTCAAAGTACAGAACAGGCAAGACCAACAGAGCAGTGGCTAGCAAACATGGTGCTCGGCAACTCTGTCACAACATGCCAGGATGCCACAGTGCCAGTTCTCCAAGGTCAGCAAACACCATTCCCAAATGAAAAAAACAAAACACAACCAACAAAACCACAATGTTGCCGGGCAGTGGTGGTGCACACCTTTAATCCCAGCACTTGGGAGGCGGAGGCAGGCAGATTTCTGAGTTCGAGAGTTCGAGGCTAGCCTGGTCTACAGAGTGAGTTCCAAGACAGCCAGGACTACACAGAGAAACCCTGTCTCGGGGAAAAAAAAAAAAAAAAAAAAAAACACACCACAATGTCCCATTTGACGTGAGAAACAAGTGCAGTTTCAGGCAAGAACTTTCTTGGAAGACAGCCTTAAAGGCTATATGAAAGAAAAGAGAAAACGAAGACATTGGATCAACTGTACTATCCTAAGAACACAGCAAGCAGGGGTTGGGGGAAGGAGGAGCAATATGGGAGGCCCAAATGAAACAAAGGCCTCACAGCCTGAACAGCACCAAAGTCAACACTGGACAAATTCACTGTTCCCCACCCAGCACAAAGACTGTGCAAGGAAGGAGAGCTCACACAAGAGGGACACTCCACACTAAACACATCAGGACAATTCATTTCCCTTCCCCTCCATCCTCTTCCACCTTCTGTGCACGGCAGGATTTCTATCTGCTGTACATTCCCTTAACTCCTGCCTGCCTGCCTGCCTGCCTGTGTACTTTTTTTTTTTTTAAATGAAGTTTTCCTCAGAGTTCATTGCCAGTCTTGTTTTTGTTTTTTTTTTTTTCTTTTTTTTTTTTTCATCTGCCTCCGTACTTTGAGTATTGGCTCTGAGGGTACACAGTGGCCCAGGCCTTGGCTGTCCCACCATCCTTCTTTAAACTTGTTGGCCACAACTGTGTTTCCTTGAGTTTTCAAGAAGTTTTCATGAAAACTCTATCCAAGGTTTTGTCAGATCAAAATCTTTATTTGTTGACTTTGGACTTGAATGACAGTTTAGTGAGGCTAACATTACTGCCTTTCCTTCAATTATTTGTTAACTGTTCTCCACAAAAACAGAGCCTGAACTTCACATTCTTGCCATACAGTTTTATCAAACTGCTCTCACAATACAAGCAGTATTTATCTCCTGCCGCCTGCACTGGCGGAGGGGGGTGGGGGGTTAGAGGGAGAGCTGATCTCTAGCACGCTGTAGTTCTACTATAGCATGCACGCAGCACACCTCTGCAGTCATCCTTGTCAAGTGAATTACTGAATTTTCTATAGTGTCCCTGAAAGACCTGAACTCACTGTCAGGCAAACGTTGGCTCTCCTTCGCCTGTCTTCATCACCTTTTACATCTTAGTCCTTTAAAAACAAAGAATGTCTAAGTGGAGAAAGCGTTAATTTAATTACCTAATTTACAACTAGACCACCAGACAATGCTATTTTTATTTCCACTTGGAGTTTTACCAGCCCTAAATCAAGTGCTATCCTTAATAACTACTTAACTTCTTCCTAGGCCTACCTTAACTAAAAAGCAAAGAAATTCTGACTTCCCATTCAGTCTTCAAGCCTTCCAAAGTAACTCCATTCATAACATAACTATCTCTGTAAGTCAGCAGCAGCATCCTTAATAAGAACATAAGACACTTACAACAGTTGTTTTTAATTTTAAGAACAATAACAGCGAGGCAGTAATATTACCTCAAACCATTCATGTGCTATAAACTTTCCCAAAACTCTACACGTAACTAAAAACTCTTCAGATACATTCACCTATCAATACTAAAGTGAACCAAAAAACAAACTGTTCAATCAAGAATACCAAGCTAGCTAGGCGGTGCTGTCATACACCTTTAATCCCAGCTCTCAGGAGGCAGAGGCAGGCAGAGCTCTGTGAGTGAGGCCAGCCTGGTCTACAGATCGAGTTTTAGTACATCCAAGGCTACACAGAGAAACCCTGTCTCAAAAAAGCAATTTAAAACAAAACAAAAACCACCAAGAAAGTTAATTGCAACAGGGCAATCTGAGTTATACTTAAAGTCACTTATATCTGCTGATTGCCTTAAAAACTTCACTTTTAAAAACCACAGTCCAGGGGCTGTTGAGATTGCTCAGTGGTTAAGAATGTTGACTGCCCTTCCAGAGGTCCTGAGTTCAAATCCCAGCAACCACATGGTGGCTCACAACCATCTGTAATGGGATCCAATGCCCTCTTCTGGTGTGCATGAAGACAGCTACAGTGTACTCATACATAAAATAAATAAATAAATCTTTAAAAAAAAACTTGTAAAAAAACTTTATTAAAAAATAAATAAAAAAAATAAAAAAATAAAAAATAAATAAAAACCACAGTCCAGCTAGCATACCACAATACAAAATGTCAGACTTTCTGAGTGTACTATTAACATACTCAGATGTATGGAGAGGCTTTACTGTGACAAGAAAATGTCCATAGTCTCTAACAAAACAGCTCTAAAATAACTAGTTATCAAGTAAGGCACACTTGAAAAAATGATACTAGCAAGGAGGAGAAAGAAGGGACTTGTGCTTAAAAGAACCAGAGAGCCGGGCAGTGGTGGTGCATGCCTTTAATCCCAGCACTTGGGAGGCAGAGGCAGGTGGATTTCTGAGTTTAAGAGTTCGAGGCTAGCCTGGTCTACAGAGTGAGTTCCAGGACAGCCAGGGCTACACACAGAGAATCCCTGTCTCGAAAAACAAAACAAAACAAAACAAAACAAAAAAAAGAACCAGAGAAGGGCTAGTTCTAGTAAAATGCAGTGACAGTTAAGAAAGAAATCACAAAACACAGCTACAAAGGAAAAAAATAATGAAAAGTGTACTAGCCTACACGCAGAGAAAAGCACTAACAGGGCTCTAACAGTAAGTGGGTAACTGATCTACGGCTCAATGATCACCTCACAGGCACATAGAAACCAGATGAATGGTCTAAGGAAAATCCAAACCAGACTACTGCAGGAGACAGTGAAAACTCATGCTGGAGTGGTCTGCAAGATAAAACTCCAACTGTGTTATAAACACACCTAAGTAGGTAGATGAGGACAGTATGTATGTGTCCACCATGATTGAAAATAAAGAAAGTTGATGGGCAGTGGTGGCGCACGCCTTTAATCCCAGCACTTGGGAGGCAGAGGCAGGTGGATTTCTGAGGCCAGCCTGGTCTACAGAGTGAGTTCCAGGACAGCCAGGGCTACACAAGAAACCCTGTCTTGAAAAAAACAAAAAAACCAAAAAAAAAAAAAAAAAAAAGAAAGAAAGAAAGAAAAGAAAGAAAATTAAGTCAGCCATCTAACACCAAATACCAGATACCGAGTCATCTCTTATACAAGCTAACACTTAGAAAGTTGGTACTTTTCTTTTCTACACGACAAACGATATGCAACAGTATATATAGTAAACATGAACCATAAGAATGCTACTTGCACAGGGATTTGTTTTTGAGGTTATTATTTTATAAGTTTTTAACTTTGCTATTTTTTGGGTTTTGGTAGTTTTAGGAGGGTTTTTTTTTTTTTTTTTTTTTTTTTTTGGTTTGGTTCGGTTTGGTTTGGTTTGGTTTGGTTTGGTCAGACATTGAGGAGGAGAGTTAGCCATAAAGAGTGGTAAGGGTGGCAATAGGAGTAGTCAAGCTAAGATATTATTTCTCAAGATAGCCTCAACCTTGGAAAAAAAAATTTTTTTTTGAGGCAGCATTTCTCTTTGTTCTGGGGCTCACTAATTCAGCTGAGCTGGCTAGCTAGCAAATTAGTGAGCACCACACACAAATCCTTCCCAGGGCTCTTCCTGCCTCTATCTTCCCAGCACTGAGACTACAGGCACATGCCAGTGTACCTAGTGTTTTACATGAATCCTTGGAGATCAGAAACAAGACTACTAACCACCAAATGATGGTCATAAGCCATATACCCAGTGGCTGGTTCTAGGATCAAACTCAGACTCTCAAGTTTATGTATCAAGAACTTTATGGACTAAAGTTATCTCCCCAGTCCAAAACCATATATTCTTGTAAAGAAACATTACACACAGAGAGAAATTCTAACCCTGGACAAAAGGTTCTAGGGTCTTTCCAATGTGCAATCTTCAATTACAAAGTATTTACTATCTGTTTTGTAACTAGAAATCACCTGGTGTTACTTCATCAAAACTTCTAGCTAAAGCAAAGCATGATCCAACTTAGTTAAGAGCCAAATGACTGCAAAACCATAAAAATCATTTTGCCTACTTTGAACAATTAGTTTTTATCAGAGCAGCAAATGACTCAAAGAATGGTTGTCTAAACAAGTTCATAAACTAGCATGAATATATACGAAATTTCAAAAGCATTCCAGAACATACAGAAGTAGTTAAGAGCTATTAAGAACAGGAATATAGCCGGGCAGTGGTGGCTCATGACTTTAGTCCCAGCACTTGGGAGGCAGAGGCAGGCGGACTTCTGAGTTCAAGGCCAGCCTGGTCTACAGAGTGAGTTCCAGGACAGCCAGGGCTACACAGAGAAACCCTGTCTCGAAAAAAACTAAAAAGAACAGAAATATAAATATTACAGCATGCCTCACTTGGTAAACTTAGAAATTGTTCACAACTGTGACAATCAAAACCACTTACCTTCTTTAAAGCATCTTTTATCACACCAGACTTTTCCTTCAGCAGGTCTACAACACAAAGAGCCTCATCTTCAGAAAACATCATAGTCTTCAAGGACAGAAGGAAATCTTTAAATTTCACTTCAGCATTTTCTTAATTATAAACAAAAAGGAGGGCAAAGTTAGCATTAGAGACACAAGCAATAATTTGAACAAACATTAAAAAAAAATCCTGACTCATAAAGTCAATAACCACAAGAAAACAGACTTTAGATCAAGAAACAAAAGTTACTTTAATCAAGAGGGAAAAAGTAATAATGCTTATCGTCTATACCATGAGAAAATTACATTGGCTAAAAGTTTTCCCAGACTGCAGGATACTAAACTACCAATATGCTCTTATGTTTTATTCCATTCGTTTGTTTGTTTGTGACGGGGGGAGCACACATGTCAGATGACAACTTGTCTGAAATGGTTCGCTCCTGCAATGAGTCCCGAGACTTGAACTCAGCCGCCAGGCTTGGCAGCAAGAGTAAGTGTCTCTAACCTCCTAAAACATCTCACTAGTCGGGCCCTCACTCTTAAAACCACTTAAGTGCCGGGCGGTGGTGGCTCACGCCTTTAATCCCAGCACTTGGGAGGTAGAGGCAGGTGGATTTATGAGTTTGAGGACAGCCTGGTCTACAGAGTGAGTTCCAGGACAGCCAGGGCTACACAGAGAAACCCTGTCTCCAAAACAAACAAAAAACAAAAAAACATTTAAGCATTTGGTAGCTACTGGCACCTGTACCACATGTAGTCACAATATCCTCATTTAACTATTAATCCAGTCTGAGTAAATCAAACTCCACAGATGAGAACTAAGTCTAGAATAATTGTAACAATGCAATCTGCTTCTTAAAAGATCAAATACATAAAGCAGTTCTGGCATTAAAACACTGTATGCATAAAATATCTCTTACCTTCACCTACTCTAATCCTCTTGGACTCCCTAAAGAAACTCCCTTTTTTCAAGGAACTTCTCCCCAGACCCAAAGCAGCCAGCCTAAGCCTTTCTTACATGTCAGCTGCACTGTATGTTTTAAAAACAATACTGGGCACACGTGGAATAAAGGGGTAAATGAAAACTCTGCCTTGTTCCTATTCAATTTTTAAAATAATTTATTTTATGTCTATTAGTGTTTTGCCTGCATATATACCTGTGTGAAGAAAGCAGAAACGTTGGAACTAGAGCTGCTATGTGGAAGCTGGGAACTGAACCTGGGCCCTCTAAAAGAGCAGCCAGTGCTCTTTAAAAAAAAAAAAAAAAAAAAAGTCATCTTTATAACCCCCCTTTACCCAATTTTGATATGAACTTAAAATTGCTCTTAAATATACATTGAGACAGTATCTCTTTATGTAGCCCCGTTTAGTATTGAACTTAGAACCCTCTTTCTCACTCCCCAGAGTATCATTAGTACATGAATGTGTCCAGCTAAAACAGTCTATTATAGGGACTAGAGAGGTGACTCAGCAGTTAAAAGCACTGGCTACTCTCCCAAAGAACCAAGGTTCAATTCCCAGCATCCACATGCAAGCTCAAAGTCACCTGTAACTCCAGTTACTGGAGATCACACACCCTCTTCTGGCATTTACAAACTTCTGTATCATTGTCTATCACTAAAGGAAGTCAGAAGAAAAGTTGCTTACTGGCTTTTTCCCTATGGCTTGTTCAATCTGCTTTCTTAAACAATTCAGCATTATTTGCCCACGGTGTCACTGCCCACAGAAGGCTGGGCCTGCCCATATCAATCAAGAAGATACTCCATAGACTCCCCTACATACAGGACAGTCTAATGGAGGATGCATTTTCTCAACTGAGGGTCCTTTTTCCTAAATAAATTATGCTAACTTGTGTCCAACTAACAAAAAAAAAAGAAAGAAAAGAAAGAAAAAAAAACCCTAACAGTACAGTGTCTGAAACAAACTGCAGTGTCTTTACAGTACATATAAAGTCCTCTACTCTTAGAGAAACAATAGTTTAATGACAGAAAATGATAAATGGTACTTTCTTATTATCATTCTTCAGCAAGTAAAACATCAAAATAGTTTGTCTCAGGATTGTATTGTTAGAATGTCTGATTTCTTTAAATGCAATTTCAGTTGTCTACTTTGGGTTTCGGGGTTTTTTTGTTTTTGTCTTTTTAATGGTAAATGAATTTTGGTTTAAGATTATGACAGAATTTTCAATAATTTCTGAAATGACTCTCAATGTACTTCTATCATTTTGTACTACATATTTATATGAAACAACATTTTCAGCACAAATTTTAAAAATCAAAATATCAGTCAACTCAGAAAAAGATATAGATCTTCTGCAATACCAAATACTTAACATTTAATTCTTCATGTAAAAATAAACAAGTCTGGGCTGGAGAAATGGTTCAGCAATTAAGAGCATTGGCTCCTATCCTAGAGGATCAGAGTCCAGTTCCCAACAACAACACAGCAGTTCACAACTGTCTGTAACTCCAGAGGATCCAACCCAGAAACACATGTAGGCAAAACATCAAAGCACATAAAATTAAAAATAAAAATAAATCATAAAAAAGTTTTAAAAAATAAACAAGCCCTTCCATCTCATTAGAACACAAATTTCCTTATAACATTAACAAATGGTAAAATTATACGTATACCAAAGAACTGTTTTGAAACAAATTCCTTTAATTTATTAACAACAAATGTTTTCTTGTCGTACCAATTTTATATACCTAGGATTACATAAAAATTTCTCAAGCGCCGGGCGGTGGTGGCGCACGCCTTTATTCCCAGCACTTGGGAGGCAGAGACAGGCGAATTTCTGAGTTCGAGGCCTGGTCTACAGAGTGAGTTCCAGGACAGCCAGGGCTACACAGAGAAACCTTGTCTCGAAAAAACAAAACAAAAACAAAAACAAATCTCAAGCAAAAGATGGTCAAGTGTTTAAAAGTTAAAAAGCCCTGGACTACAGAACTACAGAACTACAGTAAGTCTTTTACCTCACGGAAATTCGTTGATCTTTTTTCAATACATTGATCTTATGAGAAAATGTGCACCAGGCCAAGACTCAAATCCATAATTTTAAAACATAGCAGATCACAATATTTTGCATACTACCTTTGTCAGTTTCAATCTTCAGCTTTTTTGTTCCAGATTTCTGGATTCCTTCTACATGATCAGGTTTAATCATATCAATAATTTCTCTCTTTTCCATCACAAGATTTGAGTTAGCATTATCCATCAAAGGAATGTAAGTAGTTGCATGAATAAGGGGTTCGTCCACCAAGACTGCAACTTAAGTGAGAACATTCTAATTACTCAGTTGTTAAAAATGAAGTAATTAAACAATATACAAGCACACTTAAATTACAAACGCAGTGATCCTAAAATCTCTTACTAGCTCAATTTAGTTTCAAATTCCCACTTTACATTTAACATGATTTCTAAAGTATCAGTTTACTATTCTGAAATCATTCAAGTCATGTTAAATGGGTAGTGTAACTTCTCTAATAGTGCTGAAAACTTCTTCAATCTATCCTTTAGCTACCTAACTCTTGTTTAATCTATCTGAGGTTGTCTTCTGTTCTAAGATGAAATGTCACTATGCATCCCAGGATAATCCTAAACATAGGATCATCATGCCTCAGTCTCCTGAAAGATGAAATTATAGATGTGCTACAACACCAAGTCATGTCTCTGTCTGAACAGAAGATAACCTATTTTATTTCATTAGTACTCTTAGGAAGTCCATTTTTATTTATGATGATATTGAATTACCTCACAAGTGGCAGGATGACTCTAAACTTCTGATTACCCAGGCACCCACCTCCATGTCTAGTTTCAGTAGTGCTGGGGACTAAACCCACAGCTTTCTGTATGCTTTCCAGCCCACACGTGTTCATTTTAAATTCAGTCTCTTTCCTTTGCTAGGTACAAATTGAGTCATTTTTGCTTCCAGTAGTTTCTCATTCCAATAGGCATGCCTTTAATTTCTACAGCACACCTTACTATGGTTATCAAGAACACAGGAAGGGCTAGATATGGTGGCACATGCCATTAATCCTAGCACTCCAGAGGCAGAGACAGATGAATCTATGAGTTTGAGGCCAGTCTGATCTACAAAGTGAGTTCCAGGAAAACAAAGGTTATACAGTCCTTATCTTCAAACAAGGAAAAGAAATAGAAGGAAGCCAACAGATTTTGCTCCCAATTTTGTATTTTCTCCCAATGTGAGAAACTCTACTAAGAATCTAAACAAAAATATGTTGTCTAGAGAGAACAAATATCTCTACTGAGATGAAAATCTCACTATACTCCTTTAAAATCAAGGAGTATGCGGCTGCAGCCCGGTTGTTAAGCTATTTACCTAGCATGCATAAGGCCCTAAATTTGATCTTCCACAGCCTTCTCCATAAGGAGTTTTGTATTAATAATTTCTATGTCTTACTTAAAGTCGGTAAAGTTTAATTGTATCAAATATATGCAGGTAATACTGCCTCATAACTTGTCTGATACATCATAATTTTAATGGAAATAAAATTTCATCATTCCTCTTTCCAAATTTAGTTTTCTAGCTACTGGGTAATATGACAGCCCAGTACTATTTGTGAAAGCATTGCTATTTAATCTCCATCAACTTATAGTCAAGTTTTCCCTGGTAAATTCTGAGATATATCAGACTGTTTTGTCACTTTTAACTGGATGCCTGCCATGAGCACATGCAAATGTTATATAGGAAAGAATAAGAAATGCAGGATGATGCAGATCTAACATATGTGAATTATTTTCAACTGATATTTTAAAAGCATGAATATTACACACATTCTCTCATTTTTAAATTCTTAAAAACTTGAAAGTAGAAGCACAACTATAAAGGAAGAGGAAGGAGAGCAAGGGGATAAGGAGAGCCATTAAGACAAGGAAGGATGAAATAGATACCTATGATCAAAGGGACAAACAGACATAGACAGACATTTACATCTAAATATAGATGGAACTTCACAATGAGCATGTCACATTAAAGCCCACTGCTGGAGCTAGAGATGTAGTTCAGTCGGTAGAGTGCTCATCTAGCATGCTAAAAGTCCTGGGTTCAATCCTCAACACCACACAAAATCTGAACCAACAAGCCTAGGTGGCTCACACCTGTACAGAGCACCAGGGAGCTGGAGGCAGTAAAATCAGAAGTTCAAAGTCATCCTCAACTACATGGTGAGTCAGAAGACAGCCTGAGCATCATGAGACAAAACACCAAAATAAGTAACTTTTTAAAAAATTATTAAAAAAAAAAAAAAGCCGGGCAGAGTGGTGCCACACACCTTTAATCCCAGCACTTCAGAGGCAGAGGCAGGCAGATTTCTGAGTTCGAGACCAGCCTGGTCTACAGAGTAGACCAGGATAGCCAAACTACTCAGAGAAACCCTGTCTCGAAAAACATTAAAAAAAAAAAATATATTAGTGTGTCCAATTAACAGGTTACTAATTATAATAAAAAATAAGATGTTTGGAAAATTTTAAGTGTAAATATTTGGGGAATACTTTTATTCTATATAGCTTGTACAAACTTATTTTTCAAAACTATGAATACTTACAAGTATTCTGCCCTTTTAAAATCACAGATTTGAACACAAGTGTGCTTAGCACATCTATTAAAGCAATCAACTGTAAGGTTCATAGCATTTTAGAGTTTTATTAGCATCCCAGTGGTTACAAGCACACAGAGGTGGAGATTAAAGAACACGTGGGGTGTCCAGAGCTGCTGCCCCACACCTCTCTATAGTTAGCATTCGTGAAACACATGTCTACACATCTCACCGTTTTCTGTCTTCTGCTTCTTTGACAAGCCTTTCTTCTTCCCTGGTCCACCGTCTTGCTTAGTGTCTTGATGAAAAAGTGATACTTCTTGCTTTTTTGAAGGTGCCATCAGCATTTCCACCTTTTTATCTTGTTCATCTTTATTAAATATAAGCAGAACAAAAATTATCACAGCAAACAATGAACACACCAGAAAAGAAATTAATAACTTCTAGAATGCTTTACTACAAAAAGTTCAGTCTTAGATTTAATCTGTCACTACAAACATCTCATCCCAGTTTCCTTACTCTACAATATCTTCAATGTACATGGCCCTTTTCTCTCATTTCAGAGCCATCCCAGCCCACTATATGGTCACCTATCATTTTAAAGATAAAAACCTTCCCTGCTGGTGCAATTCCCACATCCCATATCCATCCCTTTCTCTATGGACAAAAAAGCATACTGGTGCTTTTTTTTGTTTGTTTTGTTTTGTTTTGTTTTTCAAGACAGGGTTTCTCTGTGTAGCCTTGGCTGACTTGGAACTCACTCTGTAGACCAGGCTAGCCTTGAACTCTGGAACTCAGAAATCTGCCTGCCTCTGCCTCCCAAGTGCTGGGATTAAAGGAATGCGCCATCACTGCCCAGCTTATACTGGTACTTTCTTTTCCACTAATTGCAGCTGAATTTTTATCCTGCCAACTCCAATAAAGGATTATCTCAAATTTGGCCCAAATTTTACTACAATTAAAAAAAATTTTTTTTCCTATTATGTTGGAAAAACCTAAATAGAAAACTCCAATTTTGTCCTTGAAAAAAAAATTTTTTTTCCAACCGGGCATGATGGCACTTGGAGGCAGGGGCAGGAGGATCTCTGTGACTATAAGGTAAGTCTCAGGCCAGTCAGGGCTCCTCAGAGAAACCTATCTCAAAAGAACAATAGCAACAACTCAGCTCCACAATTTGCTTCAGTCCTTTGGAGCTTCCTTTGTGGGCTGCTTTAAGGAGCAGCACGTGCTGGCATTCTTCACAGTCACTGACTTAATGATCACGTCCCACTCGAGGTTAAGCCTGCATTCTACCCAGTCCTCACACCACACAGCACCGGGCTGCTGTCTCTGAGAGTGTGATCACAGGGACCTGAGACAAACCGAAAGCACTCCTTTCTCTTCTCAGTCCAGCTCTCAGAGCTGACAAACATGTCCTAACTGCTACTGGAAAACGTTTGCTGAAGACCAGAGAACAAGTGCTTTAGCCTTTGCAGGCCACTACATGCTCTGCCACAACCATAAACGCTCACTATGGACCACTGTGAAAGGTAGTCACAGGTATTTAGAAGTGACTGAGCACATAACTGTATGTCTCTGAAGTCTAATGGATAATTCCTACACTTCCCCAAGTATTATTATTCTTTGATCCTTCCCCAATTATTCTGTAAAATCTATTCTTGGCAATACAAGTCAGGATGAGTTAGCTGAGATTGCAGTTTGCCAAACTTAATCTAACTTAGAATCCCAGTCTCCTTCGTTCTGACCTTTCTTTTAACCCCCACAATGCTATGAGGTTGGTCTTGTCACTCTTAACTTGTGCACCTCTCTACCTTCTTTCCTCGTGGCACTACCACGTTCTGGCCCTGATTAACTCTGGGACACTGTCTGAACAGTCTTTCTGCTACATGAAAATGCCCCATGGAATCTGTTCTCATAAATTCCTCCCAAGAACGCATTCTAAGATGAAAATCTAATTAGCAGCTGGAGAGATGGATCAGTAGGTATGAGCACTTTTTGCTCTTGCAGAGAACCTGGTTCTGTTCCCAAGACCCACAAGGTGGTTCAATCATTTGTAACTCTAGTTACAGGAAATCTGACACCTTCTTCTAGCTTCTGAGGGCACCAGGAATGCAAGTGGTACACAGACAGACATGCAGCTGAATACTCATATTCATAGGCACATAAAATAAAGATAAATCCTTAATTATATATAATTTTTAAAATATATATGTATATATTTTGTACATAAAAATCAAATGCAAACATCCCTCAAATCACCATTCCACTACAGTATACTCGACAGACAGACAGACAGACAGACAGAGCGATGAACCTGACTGCATTAACCTGACTAAAATCTCCAATAGTAACCAACCTAAGGCCCATTTCCTATGGTGGTTTTCAAGAACTATCATGACCTTTTCAGCTTTGTTCACTACACTCTTTAACAATACTCTGGAGTCAAATATCTCCCCTGAGCCATAACAAGTAGCTTTCTGTCCACATAGGGTGAGACCCACTATTTACTTGGTAAAGTGACTCAGCCCTAAAGACAGATTAGGCACGGCCTCCTCTGTAAACCTTGTATCCATGAATTCCATGAATTACTATTTGGCTTCTGCATTCATATTATTTCTTCCACATGACTACATAAATCCCATTTATCACTGGCCTACACATTTTCCTTTCTAAGTTCACTATTATTTCTCTGGTAACATGTGATCATTGCTGCAAGCAAGCCTTTTAAGTCCAATGTAATCAGTAACACCATAAATAAGGGTACACAAAGGACTTCACTCCCTTCATACAATGCCAACTCTCTGCAGCTCTACATATCACGTGTCATTTCTCAGAAACTTTCCACTGTACACTTGTCCTCTGACATCCATGAGGGAAACAGGTTCTAGAAAGCACCACCAATACCAAAGCCTAAGACTGCTCAACTCCCTTACAGAATTACATACAGTCATTACACTGTACTTCAATATAACCCACATACTTCTCCTGTATACTTTAAACATCTCTAGACTACTTATATTATACAAAGTTGATGCTATGTAAATAGTTGTACTGTACTGTCTATAAAATAATGACAATTTTAAGACTGTCCATACTGAAAACAGACATTCTTTTATATACTTTCACAGACACAATTATTTTTCAAGTATTTTCTGTGTACATGTGTGTGTGCATACACACAAACATACACACACACACACAAACTAGCCAGCACTTTACCAAGCTTTAAAATTAATGCCTGGCACTGCATACTCCAAGTAACCTTTGAAGTCCTGAGACCCAGATCATATGACATTTTTCCACCATCATGACTTATTATGCTAGTTTCTACAGATGCTATGTGACTCTTCTCTGAAGGCCCAGTGCTTCCAGATAAATAAATGTTTGAAAACTGAATCAAGGCTGGGCGGTGGTGACGCACACCTTTAATCCCAGCACTTGGGAGGCAGAGGCAGGCGGATTTCTGAGTTCGAGGCCAGCCTGGTCTACAGAGTGAGTTCCAGGACAGCCAGGGCTATACAGAGAAACCCAGTCTCGAAAAACCAAAAAAACAAACAAACAAACAAACAAACAAAAAAGAAAAGAAAACTGAATCAAAAGTAAGAAACAATGTTTCACCTTTTCAACTCCTATCACACTGATTACAAAGTGTTCACTAACATGTCACTGTCAATAACTACAAGCCACTAAGTTAGCTTTATAAATTTCCAGAGAATCTTTTATATAGTTATAGGTGAAATTTAAAGTGTTTATTACTGGTAATTTTTATCAGCAATTCATACTAACGAAAGCAAACAGTGAGGTGAAAGGTCTCTTTCAGAGTCACTACATATAATCATGCAATGAGTTAAAAAGATTATGTACCGATTCCATTTTTAGACTTCTTCTGCCCTGCTTTCTTCTTCAAGGCAGCTGCTTCAGGGGGTGGGGCCGGCTGTTTTGTAACTAGGGCAGGTTCTACTTTTTTGCCTGGAATCTTTGATGCATCACCTTCTTTGATGATCTGCTCTTCAAGTGAAGGTTTTTGTTTCTTTTCCTTCTTCTTTCTTTCCCTAACACTACTGGAAGTTTCTGCCACATTCAACGGAGCAGGTACAAACTGTTCACCCTCCACAGGTGAAGCATCGGATAATTTAAAGTCTCGAGGTACATGCTCAGAATCAGATTCATGAAGAGTCCCATTCTGGATTTCTTTCTTTTTATTCTTCTTCTTTTCTGCCTTCTTTTTATCTGTTTTTGTAGAAATCAACTTTTGTTCTCTTTTTTGTTTTGCAAGAACTTCATCATATAATGTTTCTTTCATGAAAAGCCAGAAGAAGAGGAAAATGACGGTAATAACTACTGAAGGGATAAGGACAACGAAGTACGTTGACTCATACAGCTCCATGGCCTTCTCCTAATGTGAACCTATGGAGAATCTAAACAGGGGCGGCAACAAACACAGAGAAAACAGCCAGTTAGATAAACAAGTAAACTGCTAGCACCCTGCCCTAACAGTCAGCACTTCAGATCTAAACCAATCTTAAACAAAACAAGTGAGCTGTTTAAAACAAGGCTGTCACCCACACCTGAACTATACTAAGAACGGGAAATGGGTGGTTAGTGACAAGTGTGGCATATCCTTCCCCTCACACACTGTAAGGTAAAAATTAAAACAGCTCAGCAGAGACCACAAACAACTTGGCAAAGACCGCAGGACAGCTTGCTGAGCTTGCTGAGAATAGCCATAATAAAAATATCAAGCCCCTCTAGGGACGAGGTGACCAGAAATTTAGAAACAACCAAAGACATATCTTGACCAGTCTAAACATGCC